TTTAATGGAGCCCTGTTGCTTATGCATCGTTAAACGCCTAGAAAGAGATGTTGTTGTCTTGCCTATATACTGGGTTTTTTGGAGCTTACAGTCCCCAAGAGGGCATTTGAAGGCATAGACGACGTTAGTCTCTTTTAAAGCGTTCTGTTTTGTGTCTGGAGAGTTTCTCATGAGTAGGCTGGCCGTTTTTCTGGTTTTATAGTAAATCGTCAGTTGTATCCTCTGATTTTTGTCTGTAGGGATAACGTTTCTATTAACAATATCTTTCAGGACCCTTTCCTCCGTTTTATGAGCTGTGGAAAAGAAATTCCTGTAAAATAGTCTAATAGGGGGTATAGGTGTTGTGTTAGTTGTCTCTTCAGAGGTTGCATGGCTTTTCACTTTCCTTCTTATGATGTCTTCGACGAAACCATTGGAGAAGCCGTTATTGACTAGGACCTGCCTTACCCTACAGAGTTCTGTTCTTATACATGTGTCCATCCGGGCTCAAGAAGGGTGCCTCTTTAGTACACGCTTGGAGTAGTTTCCTCAGAATATTTTCTGGTATGTCAAGAGGAGTACAGGCTGGATCACGACTCCACCGGACTCCACCTGCCAAAGATCATTGGGGAATATAAACCTGGATATGCGTATGGAAATGTCAAGACGCACAAGCCTGGAAACCCACTTCGGCCAATCATTGGCCAGATACCCACACCCACGTACAGACTGGCGAAGCGACTCAACGGCCTGCTGACTCCTTATGTTCCTTGCGCCTTCAGCCTGAAGTCTCCAAAGGAATTTGTTGACTTACTGCGGGGCACACGGGCCACAGGGATAAGAGCCTCGTTGGACGTAGAATCGCTGTTTACCAACGTACCTGTGGACGAGACAATCGGAATGATAGCCGACAGAGTGTATCGTGATCCAGCCTGTACTCCTCTTGACATACCAGAAAATATTCTGAGGAAACTACTCCAAGCTTGTACTAAAGAGGCACACTTCTTGAGCCCGGATGGACACATGTATAAGCAAGTAGATGGGGTCGCCATGGGTTCTCCCCTAGGTGTCCTGTTTGCAAACTTCTACATGGGTACCATCGAGCAAAAAGTCTTATTCGACATGAACTTGAAACCGGCCATATACTGCAGGTATGTTGACGACATTTTTACACAGGTACCTGATGTCAGACATCTGCAGGAGCTGAAGGAGGCATTTGAGCAGAGTTCCGTGCTGCGTTTCACTTACGAGATGGAAAAGGATGGGAAGCTGCCCTTTCTAGATGTAACAGTCATGGAAAAGGGCGGAGGTTTCCACACTGTAGTCTACACTAAGGAAACAAACATAGGAATGTGCCTAAATGCCAACAGCGACTGCCCAGACAGGTACAAGAGGAGTGTTGTTAACGCATATGTCGACCGTGCTCTCAGCCACAGCTCAGAATGGAAGCAAGTCGACGAAGAACTCTGTAGGGTAAGGCAGGTCCTAGTCAATAACGGCTTCTCCAATGGTTTCGTCGAAGACATCATAAGAAGGAAAGTGAAAAGCCATGCAACCTCTGAAGAGACAACTAACACAACACCTATACCCCCCATTAGACTATTTTACAGGAATTTCTTTTCCACAGCTCATAAAACGGAGGAAAGGGTCCTGAAAGATATTGTTAATAGAAACGTTATCTCTACAGACAAAAATCAGAGGATACAACTGACGATTTACTATAAAACCAGAAAAACGGCCAGCCTACTCATGAGAAACTCTCCAGACACAAAACAGAACGCTTTAGACGCTAACGTCGTCTATGCCTTCAAATGCCCTCTTGGGGACTGTAAGCTCCAAAAAACCCAGTATATAGGCAAGACAACAACATCTCTTTCTAGGCGTTTAACGATGCATAAGCAACAGGGCTCCATTAACCCCTGCACTGCTCACCCATTTTCGGCAAAAATGTCTTGGTGCAATTCTCAAGGATATATTTTTGTTATTTTTATAATTGTTCAGGTAAAGTTAATGTCAAAATGTTTCCAAAGTCAACTATTTCCATTTCAAAACACAAAGAGTAATGAAAACATTTAAAAGTATTAAAATATAGCCTAATTAAAAAACAAAAGCACAAATCTCAGAGCGCCTAAAGGCGCTTTGCGCAGTGCAGTGGTTAAGGAACATATAATCTCTTCCCACAACCAAACCATCGCCAGAGAAATCCTAGTAAACAACACAGAAATGATCGATAGATACAGCGATAGCAGGCGGCTTGACGTTTGCGAGGCACTACACATCAAGAAGTCAACACCAGCAATCAACAGCCAATTATTGCACAACTATATTCTACCCACCTCAAGACTCCGCTCCAATATAGAAGCATCAAGAAATATGAACCAATAGGCTTTCTACAAACACTTCTATTCAATATCCATTGTTTCGTGTTCTGTCTTGTGTTGATGAAATTAATACCCTATTAATACTCTTGTTCTGTCTTGTGTTGATGAAATTAATACCCTATTAATACCACATCTTGTTCTGTCTTGTGTTAATGCCACATCACCCCTCCCACCTCACTCAAATGTAGATATAAAATCGGAGATGCGTAAGTTCTATTCAGTTGTGTATTTGTGAACTAAAGTCTTTGAAAATGTAATAAGTTTTACGAAACGCGCTCGTGTCGCGTCAGACTAGAAATAAAAATGAATTTTGGAGAATTGATTTTTTATTTACCTCCAACAGTGAAACGAAATGTACGAAAGATTGAGAAAATTCGTGTTAGAATTATTAATCTTACTTTCTCGGTCATATTTAATAATATATGTCTACAGGAAAGACTGCTACCAAAATATACTAATATATATATTTATATATATATATAATATAATGTATGTCAATTTTTTTAAGTTTTCCAACAAAAATTATGAAACATATGTTTGTGCATACAGTGGATCTATGATCTAATGAATCTAGATGAATTCTAATGATGGTCATTAGATAAAATGTAATTAATTCCTAGATGGTTCGAATAAATTGTGTTCATTCCAAATTGTTCAGTATAGCATGCAAATGTTCGATTATATGAGGATTGTTCATCCAAGCCATCATTGAGGCCAAGCATCAGGAGGTGACTGTGTTATCATCACCATCATCATCATCCATGAGCCACCTAATCAAAGTGTAAACTCTTGTACAGTGCCTACCTGCCTACCTGTTGACAATTTTGGGGATCAATGTTCCCGCGGCCTGGTCTCTGACCAGGCATCCTGGTTGCTGGTTTGATCAACCAAGCTGTTCAATGCGGCTGCTCGCAGCCTGAAATATGAATCGCAGCCTGGTATGCCAGAGTGCAACTGAGAAAGGACAGAAAAAGACATGGAAAAGTATAAGAACATTGGTACAGAGGCAAATGTAGAGGGACTAAAGAGTGCCAGGAATGAGTACACCAGAATCAGGTGGCCAGTAGAGCAGCAGTTTGAAAATAACCTTGCGGCAAAACCATAGAGCCAATGTAAGTTGTGGCACAGCCATTTGTAGAAGAAAACAATAGTACGAGACCATGTGAATAAACTGCGGGGACAGAAGCACTTTTAGAGAATGACAAAAAAGTGTGATGAACAACTCAACAAGAGGCTCAAGCAGGTCTACAAACCAGAACCAGATTGGTGCCTAAGTAGGAGATGACAGATGACCAGAAACAACGGTAGACAGAATTCAAACTAATACAGTATAGAAGAGGTAAAATGACAACTGGAGGAGCTAGATATAGCAAAAGCAGTAGGACCAGCCCAGATATCATGGTTATTGAAAGAGGCTGCAGGGATCTTGTGTTACCCATTTACTTTAGTGTTCAACATTACATTAGAGGCAGTTACAAGAAATGTTAAGAGAAAAGACCTGGGAGTAGGCATAATCTCAACATTAACACCAGAAGCTTATGTGAGCAGGATAACATCAGCAACATATGGGAAGTTAGCAAACATAAAAACATCATTTAAGAATCTAAACAAGGTGGTTTTCCAGTCCGTACACACTGCCTATATAAGACCATTACTTGAGTATGCATCACCAGCATGGAACCCATACCTTTTGAAATATATACTCAAACACGAGAAAGTTTGTGAGTTTGCAACCACCGGGGAGATTATTACACTTGGTACCAAAATTGAGAAGCGCCAGCAATGTGGACAGATTGTGAGAACTGACCCTCACAATCTTGGAGGGGAAAGAAACACAAGAGATATGATAGTTACATACAAGATTTTGAGGGGAAATAGACAAGTGGATAAAGGAAGTTATTTAAATTAAAATGAGGTAGGACAAGGGGACATCACTGGAAGCTGGACACACAAATTAGTCGAAAAGATGTAAGGAAGTTCTCATTCCCTGTACAGGTGGTGAGCAAGTGGAATGCACTGAAGGAAGAGGTTTTTGAAGACAATTCCATCCACAACTTTAAGAAAGTGTGATGAATACATTAATGTTGAGAGAGGTAATAGCGCGTCAGGTATTATCGGCTAGGAGGCAGTGCATAAAGAGCTACTGTAAATCTCCTCCCCTGTAGTAACTGATAGGTAAGTATTGGTATATTGTGTATGAATTTAAAATTATTTATACTGAAAGTTACCAATAACATTGTAACTTAAACATGTTCCCAATAATTTGTGACGCAGCAGAAAACCAAGTGTTCACCATGATATATTCAGTGTAAAAAATGGTCCAAGTTGTTACTGTACAAGTGGTGGGAGTCAAATGTGTGTGTAGAACTATGCACAATGAGAAGCTAATGCAAGAACTTGAGTCCAGAAATGTGAGGGTTCACTGTCCTTCATACACATGCATTGTAAAATACTGTACAGTATTTCTATTAGGCTTTTACACTTTTTCATTGTTTTTGAGTTGAAAACTGTTTCACATCATTTACAAATTATAAATTGTGTGTTTATATATGGTTCAAGTGCTTATATTATTTATTAAGTACACTGTGCTGCAACATATAGGTAAATATTTGTGTGTTTAAAATAATACTTCCCTTTCAGTGGTGCTGGCGATTGTAGCTACAAGCACAGCTCTTGGTGCCTACCTCTGGCTCACTGATCCTATAACACAAGATGCATCTTTTGTCCAGTCCCTTCTCAATCACCTCTTCTTCACTTTTGCTGCTTCTGCATTAAGTAAGCTCACTTCAATAGTTTGAGGTTTTTATTTAATTATTTCACACGACTATATGTTCACATCAACGATCTCAAAATTTGAATAAACTGTGAATAATTATTTAATTATTTCACACGACTATATGTTCACATCAACGCTCTCAAAATTTGAATAAACTGTGAATTTTCTGTATACTGTGTTTGTATTAGTGAAAACAGGCAATTACTTATAAAAAATTATTATATGGTTTTGGTGAATAATTATGTAGAGGTATAGCCGATGTATCGGTATCTTCATCCTATTTTTGATGAATCATTATCAGTATCAATTAAATTTCGGAAGTTTTTATTTGTCCTTCACAGGGGTAGATGATTTTTGACCACTGTTAGCAGGAGTCAGAAAATTGCTAAGCCAAAATGTCAAGGGATCCACAGGAATGCGGGGTAATGATGAACCAGCCAGGTTTATGCTCATACTCACTTTGAGTTAGATATTTGCCTGAAACGCTACGCGTGCTAGTGGCTGTACAAGAATGTAAGAACTTTCATGTGTGTGTGTGTATATATATATACTGTATATATATAAATATATATATATATATATATATATATATATATATATATATATATATATATATATATATGTCGTACCTAGTAGCCAGAACGCACTTCTCAGCCTACTATGCAAGGCCCAATTTGCCTAATAAGCCAAGTTTTCATGAATTAATATATTTTCTCAATTTTTTTTCTTATGAAATGATAAAAGCTACCCATTTCATTATGTATGAGGTCAATTTTATTTTATTGGATTTAAAATTAACGTAGATATATGACCGAACCTAACCAACCCTACCTAACCTATCTTTATAGGTTAGGTTAGATTAGGTAGCCAAAAAAGTTAGGTTAGGTTAGGTAGGTTAGGTAGTCAAAAAAACATTAAATCATGAAAACTTGGCTTATTAGGCAAATCGGGCCTTGCATAGTAGGCTGAGAAGTGCATTCTGGCTACTAGGTACACATATATATATATATACATATATATATATATAATATTTATATATATATATATATATATATATATATATATATATATATATATATATATGTATATGTATATGTATATATATATATATATATATATATATATATATATATATATAATATATATTATTAAATATGACCGAAAAAGTAAGATTAATAATTCTAACACGAATTTTCTCAATCTTTCGTACATTTCTTTTCACTGTTGGAGGTAATTCAAAAATCAATTCTCCAAAATTCATTTTTATTTCTAGTCTGACGCGACATCTTCGAGGTCCTCGAAGATATGTAAGCTCTATTCAGTTTCAGTTGTGTGTTTGTAAACTAAAGTCTTTGAAAATGTAATAAGTTTTACGAAACGCGCTCAAGTGTCGCGTCAGACTAGAAATAAAAATGAATTTTGCAGAATTGATCTTTGAATTACCATCAACAGTGAAAAGAAACATAAGAAAGATAGAGAAAATTCGTGTTAGAATTATTAATCTTATTTTTTCGGTCAGATTTAATAATAAATATATATATATATATATATATATATATATATATATATATATATATATATATATATATATATATATATATATATATATATATATATATATATATATATATATATATATAAATAATAAGGAAAATAAAACTTTAAGACCCCCTTTGGAATGAGTGATTTGTGTGTACAGTACTAACATCTGTACAGTATCTGGTAAACATAGAAATGACCAGTTCAGGAAAAGAATTGGAGGGTAGGAGGCTGGCATACTGTAAAAGAAATTGAGGTGATAAGAGAACTTCTATCAGAAATACCATGGGAGACAAAACTTACTAGAGAAGGCCACACAAGGCATAAGGTATTTCTAACCAATGAATGTTGGGAAGCATTTGAGTGGTTTGTTACTGCTCAGAGAGGAAATGGTGAAAACATAAGACTAACCCATGGTTAATACAAAATGCATGAGTACGCTTGCATTCATAAATTACATAGGGGTACTAGAATGCAACCCACACATCTGAAAAGGAAGAAATGATGAACTTTCAATCTGTCCTTTACCTCATGTTGTGTAATATTACACGACTTGACAATGGTCCAGGACGAACTGACATGTCATCATTTCTTCATTTTCTGATGTGTGGGTTGGGAATTGACTCTTCAGCCATATTATTGTGACATTGTCTGCACCTGAATTCAAGGAATGAATACCTCAGAATGAAAAGAGAAGCAGAGATATTTTGAGAATGGTATAGCAAGTAAAGCAGTGACCCAGCCCAAGCTGCTTCACAACCACACCAGACCACACCAGAAGGTAAACAACAAGAAAGAGAATGAGACTCAGAATAGGGGAGGGCACAAATACAGAAACTGACAGGAAGGTGTTAGGCTTTCGACTGAAGATTCTGATAAATCTTTACAATAGAGTAAGAGGAAATGCCCGAGCTAAGTGGGATGATGTTGAACCCAGCAACACCGGAGTACTTTGAGATTAAGAGATGAAGTAAGGAGGCATCTGCTAGAATTGGACATAACTAAGGTAGTAGGACCAAACATGATCTTGCCAGCTGTAACATGCCATGCTGGTAACTTTTTGTGGTATATAACAAGACACTGGAAACAGGTGCAAACTATCAGAAAGTTGGAAGGCAACCAATATACTGCCAATATAAAAAAGGGAAGATAGACAACACATTATGTGGTTTTGAAGGTGGATAATATTATATTTTCCGTAAGTACAAACAAAGATTTAAGTCATGGAAGTGACTTAACAACACGGCCCAATTAAGAGACCAATAGTCAAGAGCAAACATTACAAGATACAGGCTGAAATTCAGCTTTTTCTTTTTAAGATTGGGTGTGAATGTGGATGCTTTTTCAGTCTGTCTTTATGTCAAACTACTGTGTATGCTCTCAAAGAAACAAAGATTAGTAGTAGTGGATATGAAGATTTATGTAAAAATGTGGACAAGGAAAATTATTAGTGAAAATCATAACAATATTTAAGGGATGAAAGCTGGTAGAGAGGCATGAGCAAAATACTGTGCATAGACTGATCAAGAATGGAGTAAGATGGATAAACATAAAACTTCATTAAATATTAATAAATGCTTAATATTTCTTTTTTTCAGTTCTCCTGTTCATAATGGGCATTCACAAAAAGGTGGTATCGCCCTCAATAATCACATCTCGAACACGGGCAGTTCTGGTGGATTTCAACATGTCCTGTGATGACACCGGGAAACTTATTCTCAAACCACGACCAACAACAACCTGAGAATATTAAATTTTTAGGATGTAAGGGGACAATTATTTTTTATGATATTCCAAATGAATATATTAGAGCTAATCATTAGTGAATGCTTTACTTACACAAATTTAAATCCAAGTTAACAGATTGTTGGAGAGTTGATTAAAATTGCATCAAAGAACTAAACTTGGATTTTCTAAATTACTATTGATCTGTTTAGAAAACAATATTTTACAAACTTAGAAAGATCAAGATGCAAAATTATTCATGAACTGTAGTTAATTTTTAAGTACAATATTGCTATGAAAACATTATTTTTAAACTACAGTTACACTGCTTCATGACTGTTTTTATCCCTCTGGTATTGAATTATTATGTGCTAGAAGCTTGTCATTTATCACAAGAGTTTTAAGTGCTACATTCAAGTATTTATCTGCAGGTTTCTTTGACAACAAAGTAGTTGGGGAATTGTTAGTCTATTATTACTTTTTTTATTTTTTTATTAGACCTCAGCTTAAGTTACACGAAAGTAATATCACTGTTACCGGCATGTGCTTTAAAGTTCTTTCTTCCATACAGTTCATTATAGACTATTCTGGAATATCAGTGAGAGTATACCAAATGGTACTGTACAGTTTATATGAATCTTACAAGTTGGTGATTGATCAGGTTTTTTTTATGTGAATGTAAAGACCTTTTTGTGGGATATAAGAAATTCTCCAAATTTAGGAGACAAGCAGATACAGATGTAGCTGGTGAATCCATGTCTGCAAGAGTACTCTCTATGAAAGTCAGATAATGTTTTCTATGAATACTCATGATTTTAGTTTAAGGAATAATTTTTTGATAGTGAAATGTTTTACCATGAATGATGTATTCAGTGTTTTATTTCCTTCCCCCTCCTGCACATTATTCCTTTTTAATGAATACAATACTTTGGTGTATTCATTCTGTAGTAGATATGTGACCAACCTGTAAATTTTGGTAGAATTCTTTAACATATGTAATGCTTATCTAACATTACTAATGAACTTGAGAATATCATGAATGATTTGTAATTTATTATCTCTTTTTTTATATTCCTATAATGAGTGCTTGAGGACTGTGCTATAGACATTGAGAAGTTCCTTACTGGAGCAGTGTGCGAGATAAAATATAACATTAGCAGTTGTCTTGGAAGATATTGATCTTCCCAAGATTTTTGCAATAATTATTTAGTGCTAAAATAGACAAAATTTAAGTTTGGATGAACATCACAATGTGATGTATTAGTTGTGTATAGTGTACACCATGATGTATTTGTAATATTGAGGCTGTTTTACTCTATATACTCATGTACAATGTAAATTTTAATTACTTTATACTTGATATTAAAGGTATCCTTAAATGAATATCTGAAAGCTAGAGCATATTTTACTTTACCCTATAAACTCACTCAATGTGTTAACCTCACTTATTGCAGTGTGTAAGGACTTGAACACCCCTTCACAAAAAGTAGTTTTATCTTGTTTTGTACCAATTTTTGTTTATTCAATGTAGTGTATGTGGAAAAATTAAGCTGCTACACTTTATTCAAAGGCGGTGGACTGTGATCTATCCATATTAAGCGTACAATTTCCTGCCAAGTGTTTTAGCATCTTCTAAAAGCATCTTTGATTTTTCACATTACCAGGTTTGTTGAACCATTAGAGGGCATGCTAAATATTACTTGTCATACACAATGAAATCACAAGGACATACAGTGTGTGTGTGTGAACTAACCTAGTTGTGCTTGTGGGGGTTGAGCTCTGGCTCTAGGGCAGAGTCTATTATCCTCCGCCTGCCTCTTCAGTTCATCCTCGAATTGCTGGAGTCCCTTCTACACTATGCATCTCCAGGAAGATCTGTCCGCAGCTGCTGCCTCCCAAGTGTTGATGTCGATGCTCATCTGCTTGAGGTCGCATTTGCAGGCGAATTTGAAATGCAGCAGAGGTCTTTCGGTGGGTCTCCTTCCTGATGCCAGTTCTCCATACAAAAGGTCCTTCATATATAAGATATATAAAATATGATATATATAATATATATCATATATATATATATGTCGTACCTAGTAGCCAGAACTCACTTCTCAGCCTACTATTCAAGGCCCGATTTGCCTAATAAGCCAAGTTTTCATGAATTAATGTTTTATCGTCTACCTAACCTACCTAACCTAACCTAACCTAGCTTTTTTTGGCTACCTAACCTAACCTTACCTATAAATATAGGTTAGGTTAGGTTAGGTAGGGTTGGTTAGGTTCGGTCATATATCTACGTTAATTTTAACTCCAATAAAAAGAAATTGACCTCATACATAGAGAAAAGGGTTGCTTTATCATTTCATAAGAAAAAAATTATAGTAAATATATTAATTCAGGAAAACTTGGCTTATTAGGCAAATCGGGCCTTGAATAGTAGGCTGAGAAGTGAGTTCTGGCTACTAGGTACGACATATATATATATATATATATATATATATATATAAATATATATATATATATATATATATATATATATATATATATATATATATATATATATACTGTATATATATATGTCGTACCTAGTAGCCAGAACGCACTTCTCTGCCTACTATGCAAGGCCCGATTTGCCTAATAAGCCAAGTTTTCATGAATTAATTGTTTTTCGACTACCTAACCTAACTTTTTCGGCTACCTAACCTAACCTATAAAGATAGGTTAGGTTAGGTAGGGTTGGTTAGGTTCGGTCATATATCGACGTTAATTTTAACTCCAATAAAAAAAATTGACCTCATACATAATGAAATGGGTAGCTTTATCATTTCATAAGAAAAAAATTAGAGAAAATATATTAATTCAGGAAAACTTGGCTTATTAGGCAAATCGGGCCTTGCATAGTAGGCCGAGAAGTGCATTATGGCTACTAGGTACGACATATATATATATATATATATATATATTATATAATATATAATATATCATATATACTTCTCCGTTATATTACAACTATCCCATTACATCTATCATAACAGCTTGAAAAAATAATCAGGACAAATGTGGGATCTTTGACAAGCCGCCTGTTTCCTAGCCTCGTCGAGGCCACTAGGGGAAAATAGTGGCCCTCGAATAAAATTCACGTAAAACATTAACATGGAACAGACTGACTTGGGAAAGGCCCTAAGGGTTAGTATTCACCTACACACCCTGTTACCCAGGCAACCTCCCACATGTCCCGTTACCCAGACAACCTCCCACATGTCCCGTTACCCAGGCAACCTCCCACATGTCCCGTTACCCAGGCAACCTCCTACATGTCCCGTTACCCAGGCAACCTCCCACGTGTCCCGTTACCCAGATAACCTCCCACACACCGTTACCCAGGCAACCTCCCACATGTCCCGTTACCCAGATAACCACCCACACACCGTTACCCAGGCAACCTCCTACATGTCCCGTTACCCAGACAACCTTTTACATGTCCCGTTACCCAGGCAACCTCCCACATGTCCCGTTACCCAGACAACCTCTTACATGTCCCGTTACCCAGGCAACCTCCCACATGTCCCGTTACCCAGGCAACCTCCTACATGTCCCGTTACCCAGGCAACCTCCCACATGTCGCATTACCCAGACAACCTCTTACATGTCCCGTTACCCAGGCAACCTCCCACATGTCCCGTTACCCAGATAACCACCCACACACCGTTACCCAGGCAACCTCCTACATGTCCCGTTACCCAGGCAACCTCCCACATGTCCCGTTACCCAGACAACCTCCCACATGTCCCGTTACCCAGACAACTTCCCACAGACCGTTACCCAGGCAACCTCCTACACACCCTGTTACCCAGAAAACGTCCCACATGCCCCGTTACCCAGGAAACCTCATACACACCCTGTTGTCCAGAAAACCTCCTACATGCCCTGTTACCCTGGTAACTTCCCACATGAACTGCTACCCGGGCCACAGGACAAACACCAGCAAACCAGACATAAGAGGGCTAATCTCATCTTGACTTAAAATACTGTACTGAACATGTGGGAGGATATTAATCCACAACACTTCTTTTAAAGGTCACATGTAACACATTCAAGGGGTAACAGCATCAAGCAACAACATAGGACAGAAAAGCTGCTGCTTCATCCATAGGGTTATAAATCCATGGAACTGCCTATCTACTGAAGCCATAAATGCCTAAACTGTACTCCAGCTGGTAAACATCCTCAGGGAATATGAAGGAAGGGGGGATACTGTTGGCAAGCCATGAGCTTGTCCCATTGAGACCACAACAGCGAGTGGCCTTCAGGTAAATTATGTTAAATATACATAAATGAGGGTACATTAATTTTTTGTAAAGGAGAAAGAAACAATTGAAAAAGTATGTTATGAAGTCACTGAAATGAGCAGTCAGGAACTGACTTCAGACAGGCATTTAGCAAAGAACAATAAGTATAATCATTTTTGGAAAAGGAGATGGAAAAAAAAAGGTAGGAAAAATCATTGAGAAAATAGTAGGTAGGTAGGAGAATAGCCACATTGATCAGAGGATGGGGTCCATTTAACTGTCTTGGCCTAGGGACCCAAAATGGTTAGATCCAGCTCTAGCTGTGGGTACAACCCTCCCAGCACAGGTAAGTAAACTTTTTTGTTGATCTATTAACTCTTGTTTAAGTATCTTCTATTTCATACAATAAAATTAATTTATGCATAGGGGAAATGGATAAAGAATGGTGTACTTGTGTACAGTGGAACCTTGTTACTCAAGATGGACAAATTGTGACTGGACCTCTTCGAAACTTTAAAGGAAATTGACAAAAAATATGGGTGGGTGGGGGGGGGGGTCCTTACTGCACCTGATATTACACAAATTATAATCAATGCCATTTTAACACATTTCTAATAATTAAAAAACTTTTTATAGTAGTTTAAATAAATATACATTTTGGGTCACGTTGACTTGGCTTATTGAGACATTATCAGGAGCTCCAGATCCAAATAATTTAGGTTTCTGGACTACCAAAGGGCCAGTGGATATCAATATATATCTTGAAGGTAATGTACTTTCATTCCATATACTGTATGTATCTTCCAATCATCGACACTTGACACCATATGCATCCATCATTTCTCTGCCATGGACTATACCGTCCTGACCAGTCTCACTAAACTTCACCATAAATGTCCACTTAAGTAAAAAATGTATTTAAAGCTTTATTTTCTTTGGTAGGTGCTATGAATATATATATTTAGTTCAGTACAGTATTATACTACAGTACACTGTATTTACTTATCAGGTATAATATACAGCTTCCTTTGTATATTTTTGAGCATATAAATAAAGGTTATACTAAACTAAAAAGACCTAAGTACTATTTATTGACATGATACAGTTTATATACAAACTTTCACATTTACTTCTTTGATGGTTTTAACACAGCATAGGCAATTAGGAGTCCCACAACTGCATAAGTTGCTTTTGCCACCTGAAACAAATTTAAGGAAACATTAAATTCACATTCTATTTAAAGACAACACACTCACCCCTTTGCTACAGCTTTTAATGAACATTGTATAGTACTGAGTACTCCCTCAAATTTCCAGCCCTCCATATAACCAGTTCCTTTAAACAATGGACTAAATTGGCTGACCTACTTTTCCCTCCAAAATTTATATTAAAAAATATATATATAAAAACTAATATTAGCAAGCAAGCATTCTTGAACATTGGTTCATCATTTAAAGTAATTTCCATAAAATTTTACATTTTTTCTATACAACTACTTTTTTATAATAAATATAATGCCACGTACATTAGCTCTTCCTGCAAGGGTGGAACCGTTGAAGTAGCGAGCCAGGCCCTTGAACTGTGAGCTGTCTACGCCTGAGTCACCAGCCATCTTGTTATCTGGAAAAAAATTTATTGTATTAAAAGTCATGGATTAAAAGTCATGGAATCATGACAATATTTTTTTAATTATTAGGCATCTTAAATATGAATACCTTATACACTAGTTATTTTTTTACTACCTATTTACCTATTAGAAGTATAGAATTACCTATTTACTTCTAGGTGGATAGGGGCATGAGGTGAAGGGAAACACACCAAACCATTTTTGTGCCAGCCAGGATTCAAACCTGGAATTCTCGACTGCAAGTCGAGAACGAACCCGACAGTACTTCCAAGACCCTTAATGTGAGAAAACATTTTTTCACCGATAGTATCATAAGCCCATGGACTAGCCCATTACTAAAGCCATCATCAGTTTAAAATTCAGTTCAATAAAGCCACAAGACTATGGGAGGGACCTTCAAGACGCCGCCGGCTTATAAGTTATGGACACTCAGAGCATTGTTAAGAATGTAGTGTGCCCCACACTGGTACCTAGTGAACATATTCACACATATAGCCCAGGGTGTTCTGGTGCTCAGTGTCCTCCTCCATACCACTGGAAGTTATAATTCAATCATAAGTATAATACAATTTGGGTGCATTTGGATATCTGGTAATAAAAAATTACCAGAATAAAAGTATTTCACAACGTAAATATTGTAGGAGCGAGGCTGCCCCCAGGCCTGAAGGACCGCCACACTCCCACCACCTCACCTCACCGGCGGGGAAAATAGGTTTCTATGGTGTCACAAGAGGCGAATATAAGGTACCTGAGCAGGGATGGTGGTCTGGGAGATCAGCTGTACTAGATGCCGGGGTGATGAGAGCCGTGTGTCTATTGGTCCACCACCGGCACTCTCTCCACTACCGGCCAATCACTGAGCGTCTTTCACAGCAGTTGGGAGCCTTAAGGGGCTTGGTCAGTGGTTCTTAATGTTACTATTTGTTTATTTTTATTTATATCTTTATTTATTTATTTATATTCAAGAAGGTATATCAGGTTGTAAAAGTATACACATTAGTGATGAAGTCGTACATTCTGGCAAAGCCACAAACACACATGACGTTCGGGGAGGATTCAACAAAAATTAATGCATCTACTTGTGAACTTGTAGTTCGCAAGTATTGTAGATGCATTATTTTTTTGTAGTAGATAAAAAGTTAACCAAACTCTAAGAATAATCAAGCGTACCTTTGACTATAAGGAATAGCAGGTAGCGATTTAATTGTATAAATCTCTGGTGAGTCCCATTTGGATTAATGTATCCAAGCATGGAGACCTCATCTTCAGGTCATAGCTGCTCTGGAGAAGGTGCAACACCGGGCAACAAAAGTCATTCCAGAGCTAAATCAACTCTCATACCAGGTCAGGTTGAGGGCCACAGGGCTAACAGACATGACAGGGCTGATCTTATCAAAACTTTTAAAATACTGAACACTTTGGAGTATGTTGATCTTGATAATTACTTCATAAGGTCAGATGTAACACAAACAAGGAGCAACGGTTTGAAGTTCAACAAGCCAAAATGTAGGATTGAGAACCGATGTTTTTTCACCCACAGGGTTATAAACCCATGGAACAGCCTACCCGCCGAAGCCATAAATGTCAAAACTCTGTTTATTTTAAAATCCAGCTAAAAAAATCGTCAGGACAAATGGGGGAACCTTTGACAAGCCGCTGGCTTCCTGTCAGGTCTCCCCACTTGTTTACCAATTTGAGCGCGCGATGTTGATTGGTGGAGAGGTCGAGTGGTGGCCCCTGAGGCCCCGCCCACCACCTGAGGTGATCAGCTGAGCGAGTAAACATGTCTCACCTCCAGTACCTCGACGAGCTCGTCAAGGAATATTTATTATTTAGGGGTTTCAGCCACACACTCAGATCACTCGACAATGAGCTTAAAATTGACAAAGACAAGGGTTTCCGGGTAAGTAGGGTTGTGATAATAAATTACAAGTTATGTGTAATTTGCAACAAATGTTGGGTCAAATTTCATATTCACATTCTGCCGTAATCAGTTTTGGTTAGTCTTGTCTGGTGTTTGAAGTCCATTTTAAGCTAATGGGTGGGACTGTGTGCGTCCTCTCGGCCTTGTAACAAATATTAAATAACATACACTGGATTTTATATGATGATTCAGCCACACTCCATCTATCAAATACTATCGTGCAAGAAGAGCCACACATCTATGGGACATCCAATAAAATCAGCAGACTCTTACATGTTGCTATGCTCGGCTTAGACTTGGCTATAAATATCTCTGGGAATTGTCTTGGCCTGCTGATGTAGACCTGACCAAATGTAAACTGTGGTAACAAAAATATTTGCTCACCCTCCGTCACTCTGTGATGGAGTGTGAAAAGGTACGTGAATTTAGAGACAACTCTGTAACAAATGTTCAAGAAATGTGTAAATATTTCATTCAAAACGATCTACTGCCATGTATTTTAGCCAAATATCCCCAGTTAGCTAAAACAATTGTGGAGAACTACAAGATTTTGTGATAAAATTAATCCTGAATGAAGAGAAAGTTAAATTTTTTTGCCTTTAGTTTTCATGGAGTTTAAATCTTAGTTTCTTATACAGGTATACTGTATAATCAAAGAATATTTTGGGGCATAAATAAATATATCACTTTGCAGGTGGATAGACTGGTTGACCAGGTGCTGAGCAGTATTCAAACATACGATTTAATAGGACTTCGGGAATTATGGGCACACTTAGACAGAAGAATTTTTGCTCGTCTTCCTCATACATTGTTGCCATGTAAGTTTTGAATAAGTTAATAATGTACAATTTGAAATCAAAGGAAAGAATTGTATATTGTTTCTAAATTTGAAACTTTTAAACTTGTGTTGCCTTTGGAATGAATGGTAATACATTTCCATAGAAAAATCCTCTTATTTTAGTTATAAAAATATTTGTACATAAAAATTATTTATGATACAGTATTTACAGTATATATAGTATAGTATACTGTATATAGTATAATACTGTATATACAGTATAGTATACAGGTAATATATATATAGTATAGAGAGAATCATTCACAGAGACATACTGGAGTCTGTCACTGAAGTAAGGCTGAAGGTATTGGAGGGAGTGACCTCTGGCTCCATAATGATGTAATTTAAATAGGTTATGGTGGTTAACAGTGTCTGGTAACAGCTGCTGGTATATGATCAAATAAACTAAGCAAGTTTGCATCTCTCGTGAAACAGTTTTTGGGATATGGTCAAATAAGCTAAGGAAGAAGTATTAAATTCTTTATGGAGCAGAGCTGCTTGTTTATGATAGATTAGCTTAGCAAGAAATTAAGATTTTGAAATTAAAACTTGTTCAGACATACATTTCTTGTGTTTGTATTAAGTTTGTTGTTTTACCTGAGCTAGGAGTTTTGATTTGTTACAGGTGTGCGAAAATTTGAGACAAGCATCCTACGGCTGTATGTAGTCAACACTGTGCACACCAATAAACCAGACAAATTAATAGAGTTTTTTGAAAAGATGGCACCAGACCTGCAGAGCCAGTCAGAGTGGAGAGAATGGTTTAGTAAGTTATATTTGTCATTGCTTGTTTTATGGCTTAATGTAGTATGGAGCATAGAGCACTGAGAGGCTCTTGTCTTATTTTAATTGAAGTACATGGTGTAATCAGCAGAGGTGGCATGAGTTGATTAGGTTGTTTTCTGTTTAAATTTATAATCTATTTTGATATTTTCTTAAAATTCTTCTATACTGTACTACAAATTTCTTATGTAAAAGCTTCTGAAGTGAATATTTTTTCATATTATTTTTTGCAGTTCTTCCGTATCTGAAAGGTGTTGAAGACAACCCCTCATTTGCTATGTACTTCACACGACAGTGGCAAGACACACTCTTGGTCTCTCTTCACAACTTCCTGGCTGTAGTCTTCCAGGTAAAACTCAGCTCATGCAAGTGCAATAAAGCCTTGTTCTAACAAAATAATTTAACCTGTGGCCTGTCATAACTAATATTTTTTCTAAACTGGTGTCCATGTAACCCATTTGGATGCTTTCTAACGTAGAGATTTTATAGCCCTACAGATTTTTCTTCATATGTCATTGTTGAGTCAGACCAGTACTAGGAAGTACTGTATTACAAGACAGTTCGTTTATGAGACTGTTTTCTATACTTGTAAGAGTCACTACAGGTAACAAGCTTTTACAAATAAGTAGCTGCTAGGGCACATTTTATTTTATTTATGCGATTAGTTGTTGAATTTAAGGATTATTTCTTATGTGTAAAAATATGTACAGTAATTCTAAGGTAAGAAAGTATGGGACTGTGACTTATTTTTCATCATTGTTTCATGTGATGTATATTAGCCAATGAAAAAAGATGAGATCAAGGCAAGTTAATATTGGGTTGACAGCTGAATGACAGTTGACTTAGTGAAGAGTTCTTTGATGTAATGCAGAGCCTGTGAATCCTATTGGCTCTTGGGAGGTCACTTAATGTTTATCCCTGGTGAGAGGCAAACCTTGCAATGTCTGCTTTGCAAGTTTCAATTGGTGACTTTTTCTGAAACAGTAATGTATAAAGCGTGAATGTATTAATATCATCTAAACGTATTCTTTTTATATTTTATCAGAGTATTGAACTACCAACTTTAGCTAGCTTCCGTGAAGAGGCCTCCAAGATTGCCAGACTTCAGGAAGAGAACGAGCTTCTGCGAGTACGCTTAGCAGCTCTCACCACCTCTGATCAGCCGACTTTAGAGCACCTAACTATTCCAGACCCCCCACCACCACCACATCTTATGGATGACTTTTATAATATTGCTCAGTAAGTAAATATGGAGATATTAAAACAATGAATTAAACGTGCTTTTTGGAATGAGAAATTCTAAGAGTATATAAAAGAATAACTTCCAAAGAGGCTAGAAAGATATATTTAGATAGGGCAGCCTGGAGGCTTCTTTGTCATGGCAACTCTGTGCATTGAAATTTCCCGGAGGACTGTGGTATCATTAACATTATTCACAACATAAGTACCAGATGTCTTCATAGTAATTCTGCTGCCCTTGCTAATTGTATTGTATCGCCTCTTTATTAAAATGAGCAATTTTTCATATTGGGGAAACAGTGAAATTGAAATTGTAGATTATAAATAAAACTTGTATTATTTATATGGGAACGTATAACGACATAGTCTGCATATGCAATTTGGCAGTACTGTACTGTATTGTATTAGTTAATTTTTTATTTTCTGTATAATTTTGAGTTACTGAATGGTAACATTTCTGTAGTTTTTTAGTAATTGTATTTACATTATGAAAACATGAAAAACATTTTGCAATATTTGGTTCTTCTTTTAGTTGCATTATAAACCCACATCTTGTACTGTATTACTTCTTAAAGGGTTGATACATTACATTTATATTACAGTAATTTATAGCAAGGGGACACTATAAAATTAAATGGCACCTGAGGAAATACAAGAAAAAATTTAAATAAACTAAACTATTTTGATCTGAGGGATTCAAACAAACCATCTAATGCACGCATTACATAGTATAGTGTACAGTAGAGCCTCGGTCTATGAATTTAATCCGTGCCAAGAGATGATACGTAAACTGAATAGTCGTACACTGAATCAATTTTCCCATAAGAAATATTGTAAATTGAATTAATCCGTGCCACACACTCAAAAATATTAACTTTAAAAATATATTTTATACAGAATACTAATCATATTTTTTACTGTACCTTACCTTTATTGAGAACTCTTGTTGGCATATAGAAGACGGTTAGAAGAAGGGAAGGAGAAGAGGTGTTAATGTTTGCAAGGGGAGTCCCCCTTCCATTATAACATCAGGCAGTAATGACATTTCTGGGGTACTCTCTCTCCTATGTTTAGTATTCATGCCACTAGGATCTGGTTGTGACTTACTGCTTATTTGTCTCACAAAGAATGTCTTAAAAGCACTTGTTTTCCCCTATAGTTTAACACTTGTCAGTAGTGAGACATCACATTGTCATTAAAAAGGTTAACACAACGGCCTGCTACAGCTTTATCTGGGCATGTCTTTTCAGCAAAACTTTGCAGCTCTTCCCATACTGAATACATTTTCCTAGCTAGATCAACCACATGCATACCGTCTTCATGTTTATGCATGTTTACGAATTATCTCGTTTTTATCGTCTAACATCATCCTCGCAACCATTTTCTTAAGTTGGAATTTACCACTGACCTTCTTGGGACCCATGGCATGATCTGTTATAAGAACTTTTTGTTCAGAAACAAAAAAGCACGAAAACAATGAAATTCTTCACAGAGAATTCAAGTGCGGTCATCACTAGGTGGAATACATTGGTAAACCGAGTATGCCTCTCCCGACACCCAGCAGAACCCGTGCACCTGAACCATACACTTACAATATCAACAAGTGATGCCTACTTCGGAGCAAACGTCATACACTGGGTCAGATTTTACAGCAAAATTGTCATCGTGCACCAAAAAATTCATACTCTGGGGCATTTGTAGGTCGAGGTTCCACTTTTAAAACACATGAGGGGAAATCCATATAACATGTTATATTTATCACTTGCCCAATAATGTTGACCAAACCACACACTAGAAAGTGAATGGACGACAACGTTATGGTCCATCCTGGACCATTCTCAAGTCGATTGAGAATGATCCAGGACAGACCAAAACGTCGTCGTCCCTTCACTTTCTAGTGTGTGGTTTGGTCAACATATTTCAGCCACGTTATTGTGACTCCTCTTGCCCAATAATGTTTACTCTGAACTAAACACTTGACGAGTGAGGTTGGTATGTCACCACACTCCCCAAAACGGTACCTCCTTCAACCAGAAGCTTTCTGCTGAGTGGGAGGGCAGAGAGTCTACACAACAGTATGGAAAAGATACTTTACTAACACATTCTCTCCCATATACAACTTGACATACATAAACAATGACAAGATTCACGAAAATTAAAAATTTGAATTAAATAAAACTAAAAAACTAATATATTGTACATTTAATACAAATAAAATCAGACATTGCAATTTATGTCTCGGCATAATAAAAACTATTGAAACATTCATGTATAAGGCATCTAGACATTTTCAGTCCATTTAGGCAGGATTGCGTACAGCATGGTTCTATAATGAATTTTCAAACATCTCTACAGGGTCATAGAAGTGCCAGGGAGTCACTGGAGATAGTCAATACAGTACAGCTTAGAGTGACCATCGGAAGTCAGTCCTGAAAATTTCATAGCTATTCCAAGTCCTCTCATGGCATCCCGAGTGACAGTGAGAGTGGCCAACCAGCAATCGGCCTGCTTGCTGCTTGGTCACCAACACTGATCACTACCAGGTGGTGGTACTAGGCCCTACCCTGGGTCTCCAGGACGCATAAGGAAAAAGCAGAAGGCTTACTGGATCATGCAAGGCCCATACGAGGCATCTAGTTATATCCACCTAAATGGGTGCATATCATGCAGCAAGAAACTTTGTAATCATTCGAACTCTGTCTTCGATAATGTTAACGAGCATTAATGAAACACATCTATCAGTGTCGGGCCAAATAAAACTGTATAAATGAACTTTGGAGAATTAATTTTTCAACTTCCTTCTCAAGTGACGAAAAATTTAAGGAAAAATGGAGAAGATTCGCACAAGAATCACTGATCTCACCCTTTCCGTCACATTCAATAATACAGTACAGTACTGTATATGAATACAGGAAAGACTTTAAAATGATAGTTTAATGATAAACTAATCTTATAATGACACTAGTATTGAAATCCCCAGAGCTTACCTCCAGTTACAATTCATCTCCAGTACTGTATACATAGAGCATATATTTGTACAGAGTCCAATAGTATACTTTACCACATTGATAATTGATTTAAAATATCACTATGTAATTTAATATTACAACAAGGCGAGTTCTACCACTTTACATCAGCGTAATGAGTAATTTAATATAATTTACGAACTTCGCCATAATTGCCATGATTGGCAGGAGCGACAGTCTTGGAGACAAATAGTAACCTATTAATTGCCTTGTTAAATCATAAGAAAATGTACTATACCTTATTATTAATATTATTATTATTATTAGAGGCCCCTGTGGTCTCCCTGATAACTCTAGGACCTGTCTTCCTGACATAACTAAGTACTGTATTCCTGAAAATGGAGAAAATCTTGAATTTGTCTGGCTTCCCGTCCAGACGGGAAGCCAGACTCTGACTATAGACTCTGACAGAGTCTATATTGGACTCTGTACAAATATATGCTTTATGTATACAGTACTGGAGATGAATTGTAACTGGAGGTAAGCTCAGGGGATTTCAATACTAGTGTCATTATAAGATTAGTTTATCATTAAACTGTATCATTTTAAAGTCTTTCCTGTATTCATATACAGTACTGTATTATTGAATGTGACGGAAAGGGTGAGATCAGTGATTCGTTTTCTGTTGTGTTGATAATGACTTCAATCCTCCTTTACTTATTATGCTCCCATCTTGTCCTCTGTTTGGGGCACAATGATGTGGCTTGAGCTCTTGGTCTGAGGCCAGCATGCCCAGACAATCCTAGCCAACATCCAATCTGGCTGCAACCTGACCAAAGTTGTTGGTTGAAGTTCGTCTCCCTGACATTACATGAACCAGCAGAAATATTTTGTGGGACGAGCTGCAGTGGTGCAGGATGTTAGCCTACTCTGACTACTGTATAATGATCCTCTCCAATGGCACCTTTGGTGATCTTGCTTTGGGGAGCACCTGAGTGTCTTGTTTGGAAAGGAGTTTTTCACATTCGCAGATAGATCGATCTTGACGTGTTCAGGTAGTTCACCGTGTTAATGGATTTAAATTTTTTTGTTGTAGTTTTAATCTTGAATGTTAAGTGCTGTACTAACATTCTCGAGCTAGAAAGTAACTATGAAGATAATAGCCTAAAATTATGAAATACTGTATTTACTTTGGGTATGCGGGAAATCACTTGTAAAGTACATTATAGCATGTCTTGAATGCTGACAAGTGTGGTGGTTTAATCTCAAAGTTAATAGTACTTACTAGATACTAAGGTATTTGAAATATTGCCAAATGAGAAAAAACTAAACAAATTTTTATATTATTAACAGGGAAACCCCATCATCAGATACTCAACTGAAATCTTTAAAGACAATACTCTTTGGGCTGGGTGGAGGTCTTCCTACCTCACCGATCCTTGGTCGGCGGGGAACAGGTGGAGGCACCACAGCATCCCCTCAACCCAGTCCTATTGGTCATGCCCCAACATCTAGTAATCAAGTAAGGTTTAATGTTGTATTTGAAACCGGTTCATTTTTATACTTCATTTTGAATATGTATAATAATAGCAGGACCGTGCTTAATTCAGAGCTTATATCAATTAGCTAATTTCTTTGGCAAGTGTCCAGCTCACCCATAAATGCTTGGCAAGTGTCCAGAACACCTGTTGACACTTGGCAAGTGTCCAGCTCACACGTGGATGCTTGGCAAGTGTCCAGCTCACCCGTGGACGCTCAGCAAGTGTCCAGCTCACCTGTAGATGCTTGGCAAGTGTCCAGCTCGCCCGTGGATGCTTGGCAAGTGTCCAGCTCGCCCGTGGATGCTTGGCAAGTGTCCAGCTCACCCGTGGACGCTTGGCAAGTGTCCAGCTCACCCGTGGACGCTTGGCAAGTGTCCAGCTCGCCCGTGGATGCTTGACAAGTGTCCAGCTCACCCGTGGACGCTTGGCAAGTATCCAGAACATCCGTGGACATTTGGCAAGTGTTCAGGTCACCCATGCTCAAAAGGTTGCCTCCTTTTGAGGTAATCGAGGAATACTATACATGGATTTCTCCTCTTGAGGTATAACCTATATACATAAACTGTAGGAATGTTATATATTTGTTATATATTGCTGTATATGTTTTGTTTTTCTTAGGGTCCTTCATCTGGGTCAGGTCACCCAGTGGTGAGAAGAACAGCTTCTCAAGCACCAGCTGAGGAGAAGAAAAGAATGCGATCTTCTAGTGTGGCGAGCATGTCTTCAAGGTGAGTTTGATGGGGAACTTTCCATGAGTGATATTTGCAGTCTGTCATTGTACTGCTGTAAAATGTACAAGTTTATTTCTATTTAATTGTAAATTTTCAACAGTGTGTCAGAGTATCTTGTTCTGAAGTTAATCACTTAACACTGTTATAGAAGAATTTTGTTTAACTGTAATATTCATTTGTAAATTTTGCTTTGGCAACTGAAAAAATATATGGAAACATTTACATAAATAAATTGGACATAGAGTGCACTAATTGCAGTAAGTTCAGACAGACTATTTGCTGATTACATCTCTCTTGAGTAATATATATTGTGCATATAATATTTAATATTTTTTTTTGTACACTAGCTTTCCTTAATAAATAAAATTTCTTCCTTGAATAGTCGTAATAGTGGTGAACACGTTCCTGTGAAGAGACTGGTCCAGACGACAGCCTCAGCCTCAAGACCTTCGCGCTCTCCAACAAAGATCAGGCCACAGGAAGAATCTACCTCATACACAAAAACTGACATAACCAATGACAAAGCTTCTTTTTTATTGCTGGGACAGGTAGGATACTTATAAACTTAGTATCAGGTATGTCCTTAATTTGTTTGAGGGACATTTTCTTGGAAAACCTCACTCAAATCAAATTGCAAATTTAGGTTAAGGTTATTTGGGTCAGATGGGAATGTATTCCAGAGGCTTCTTAATTTCTCATTTCTCTCTTAAAAAGCTCATACAAAAGATACTTTCTAAATTATAGTTTTCAGTTGCATCTTGTGGTAAGAATCCAGTATGTCACAGACCAGATTCATGAACCAGTCAGCTGGGATGATATTCAGGCATTTGTGTTGCTATGATCATTTCACATGTCCTTGCAGTGTCATAAGATGCTAGGGAAAACTGTAGAAAAATCTATGACCAGCTCAGAATGACCATCAGAGATACAAGTACAACCATAAAGACTCGACACTTTATTATTCCTCGGCCATCAGCTGGTGGCAGCACCAGTCATATTCAGCCCAGAATGACCATCAGAGGTATAGGTACAACTATAAAGACTTGACACTTTATTATTCCTCGGCCATCAGTTGGTGGCAGCACCAGTCATACCTAGGTTCCCTGATCCCATTCCCATTACATTCTTTCTGACTGTGTCCATGCATAGTTTGGCAGAGACCAATTTTAGTGACAAATAACTTGTTTTAATCCCATGCAACATTGCTTTCTAGTGCACATGGGTCTATGGTATATAGTATGCAGTGGTAGTACATATATATAGTATCATCCCTTTCAAATGGATGTATTCATTCCACTTCCCTTCTGCTGCAACTGAGGTTCCATTGAATCTGTGTTGTTTTCACAATTCTATACCAAATACCTGTACTGTATTATTTGTTTTTAATTGTGCCAAACAAATTAACACACTTGTGTACATTTTGATATAAAACTTACTGAGAAAATGTACTGTACTGTAGTTTTTAAATATTTGGTTGAAATTATTTAAATCTTTGGCACTGAGCTCAAGTCAAGCTCCACTGGAAGTCTTACATTACTTGTTGGCAATGGAATATAATGATTATACTGCACTTCCAGGAATAACTTCCATTATACTGGAAGTTCTGCACTTTCAGAACATTATTTCTATATATTACATTTTGTTTACCAACTTCTGTGTGACTGCAAGTCCACTGTATATATTATACAGTAAGCTGTATTCAGTATACTGTACCAGTATTCACCTCACTTCACATTTGTGTTTCTAACAAGTCTGTGTGTCCTTGATTTCCTGGCATGTCCGTTTAGCCAGGCAAAAGTGGTGCGCAGTAGTGAGTTCACTCTTTGACTTTATTCTACTTCATTCATTCTTGGTTCTGTATACAGATTTCTGTTCTTGGGATGCAAGTGTTGTGAAGTGCTTGAGTTATTATGGTAAGTGCAGAGAGCTTAGAGTATTTGAGGTTAGAAAAATACCAGTAAGAAAATTTAAGATTTGCTTTCAAGTTCTTTTCTGTGTTTCTTGCAGGAGGAGTATTGTGAGCATAGAGCAGTGGTGACACATGCTGTGTTTAATCCTTCAGGGACGCTGGTGGCATCAGCAGACACTGATGGTGTAGTCAAACTCTGGACACCTTCACCCTCTCCTAAGTATGTCTGAGCATATTTTAGTACTGTATTTGCTTGAAAAATTTGACAGCCGACAATTGTTCTATATGTGCTGCCTTAGTCGTGAAAAGTTGGTCAAGTTTGGTGTGTATTGAATGAACATGTATTGACAGCAAAGCTACACAAGTACATACTGCAATGTCATTGTGTAAAAGTGATTTTTTGTATTTACATTTAGTGATAAAATCTAGTGTAGAAAGCTGTCATATTTAATGAGACAATAAAATCACACCTAGCCAAGATTGTGTTATCTTGTGGCTGTTAAAGAGAGCAATTGAGAATAGTATTAAAATAGAACTCTCCTTGGAGAACCTTGGAGGTTCGAATCCTCGTCACGGCCCTTGTGGATTTGTTCTCCTTGGAGTAGTTCTCATTAATGAAGTTGAACTTATAAAACAGTTTAATTCACAAAAGTATACAAATAACTCCACTTATTTCTGATATACATTAATAATGAAAGATGGTGACATACTGTGTTTACAGAGAACATCCTAAGTAAAACAACTGCATTTGCTTTTTCTTTTGGATTGATAATAGTATGAAACAAGGTACAGTGATTGAACTCTTTTCCTCACAGTTTGTAGCCAACAGAAGCTTGAAGATGAGTGCCAATGTAACACCAATTCCTTTATATACCTTATATACTCTTATCTTCAGCATTCATTGGTGAAGATTAGAGCAACAAGGATAATGGCTAGTAATGTAAACCCAAGAGTGGCAGTGATGGCATCACTCTCATGGCACCACAAGACACATTACCTTCCACATTAGAGTAGGGCTAATACAGTACTGTGATGTTGGTGATACAGTACTGTGATGTTGGTGATACAGTACTGTGATGCTGGTAATACAGTACTGTGGTGTTGTTGATACAGTACTGTGATGTTGGTGATACAGTACTGTAATGCTGGTAAAAAAAAATTAAAATTCTGAACTGTCCTTAATTAGTTTCATAATTACAATTATTTTATTTATAGATTCTGAAACATTGTATGGTATACAGGACTCAGTGTGGTGTGGTGGTTAAGAGTGCTGTGACAGCAGTGGAATGGTTACCACGTGGAGAACGATTCTTGCTCATAGCCACCAAAGCTGCCACCTTGCGTCTCTTTGACACCCGAGACAAGAAGACAGTGTGGGACATTGGACCAGATACGTGTCCAGCTTTTAAGGACCAGAGGTTAGAGCACATCATGTTTGCAAATAAAAGTTGTAATAATCTAGTTTAAACTTTGGCATGTGTAAGCAAGTCATAGAAGCACTTTTGCTGAAAGATTTTCTAACAAATTTATAAGGAGAAAATATTTGACATGATGGAAGTGGTATGCATGGAGCAGCCAGACATGCATGCACTATGGGCACGTGGGTTGGATCACATTGTATGGCCTCAATATTGTCTCATACGTCACGTTCTTGTGATATCACTGTGCAAGTGTACACTATTGTATTGGTTTTAAACGTTAATATCTATATGAATGTCATTATTAAACTTTAAGAATGTAATGTTACTTAATGCAAGGGTATAATTTAATGTGGTGTAATTGATAAGATTCTTCATATGTTATCTAGCAATGTTAAAAGTGTGGGAATGTTCTGATTGTAGTCTCTTCCCTTTACAAACCTGTAGAATAATGGGTGTACGTGTTAGTCCTGGTGAGGGCAGTGCTGTGGTAAGCGTTGCCCCACGTGTGCGGCCGCAGGGAACCTCAACACCCCCGGCACCCCCGGCACTACACACTCTTGATATGAAGAGTCTGAAAGTGGAGGTATGGTATTGCTAGAGCCATAAGGATCATATACCACTTTTAGGGGTCTAATGACAATTTAGTATTGTGATCTTAAGTAAATTAGCAGTTACCTCCATCTTCTGCTTTAAGCAGTGTTATGATAAACTGTTAGAGCATCAGAGGGAGTAAATAGCGCTAGAAGGTAGGGGCCCAGTATCTAGATCTCACTTATCATAGATGCAGATACATCCACATATTGTATATATATTTAAGACTAAATGTGATATAATAAATAAGTAAAGGAAGATTAAGCTTGAGTTTTATTGGGTAAGTGATATGTAGTCAAGTATTTCCACACCATTGTTGCCATAGTCATATGACCTCAGCACACACTAAACACAAAAATGATCATGAGCTCACACAGGCAGCTTAACCTCTTTAGTATTCTTTTAATTTCAAATTTTCTTTGCCCCAGAATTCCTATAAGATAGAAGGTGGTGTAGTCAATGGCTGTATCATGAACCATAATGGTGGCTTGCTTGTGTGTGGCTGTAATGACGGCTCAGTCAGGATTATTGATCTACGATGCCCTGATGTCATAGCCTCTTGGCCAGCACACCAAGGGGAAGTATTCACCGTTCGACTGTCGCCTCAAGAGAACAACATCTACACCATTGGCAGTGATAATAGAGTAAGTATGGATAAATTGTTTGTCTAATCAATATGGTTAATTAATCTTTAGTCTTAAATTTATTTTTTCTGGGGGAGCCCCTTGTGGCTTCCTGAAACTACTATACTGATATAGTGCCAGACTATAAAATGCCATCAGTCCAGTTCTGATTGCAGTGTTGTCTTATTGCCTATTGGGGACCATGAGCCAGAACCTGGCCCTCCTTTCCCCAGATGCACAGGGAACAGTGGCACTGAAAAATTTAATGAAAATTTATTCATGTCTGCCATCATAAAGGGAAGAAACCCAGAACGTCAGAGAAACAAAACAAACTACTTCTTGGTTAGAAACGAGACTGCAGCCTCAAAACGGCTGAAAGAAATTCCCCAACAATGTAAACCAATGATCGAAAATTAATGAAACTAGCATGAGCTAGTTAGCCCCATCTCTACCCCTCGTTTGTGGGGAGGAGGGAGGCAGACCGGATCAGCCAGCTGCTCTACCACTAGTTCTAAAATCTTTTGAAACCTTGCAAAATGAAGCTATGCATCTCATCTTTGGGGCTCCAAAAGTTTACAAGAATAATTAATATGAGAACAGAGTTAAAATTACCTACCATAAGTGAGATAATTTTGTCCATTAGCACAGTTTTTGGCATGAGGACATTGAGTAGATCTCGGCAACACATGAAGTTTCAAGCTCAACTTTCTAATATGCTACACTTACTTGAGGTCTATAAAAGAAGAGCAAAATCTGATTATGCATTTTGGTTCTTAAAGGTAGCCAACTCCATCAAAATATTAAATATGTACCCAACTCAATTAATGATTAATCAACCAGTTACTCCATGGGATAACTGGGATCTATCAGTTGATTTTGTAAATGCGCCCGGTTTGGTGCCTTCTTTTGATAATTACTTACTTACTTACTTGTAAATGCGCCCAAGAAAGATAGTGTACACTCTACTGTACATTATTAAAACAGTTAATACTGAAAAGCACCACTGAGAGTACTCATGTTATATGTAATGTTGTGTATCAGTGCTATACCAATGGTTCTGTAGAAGTAGGTGGAATATGTACCGGATGTGCAACGATTATTTGAACAATCTTCTCTCGTACATACAGCAATGAAGCACATCAATGACTGGGCAAGTACAACTCAAACTGAACTTGCAGGCATATACCTTGCCATTGAATTTTTAAAAAACAAAGGCAGTGGACTTATTTACTGTAATCTGCAGAGTGCACTCCTGGCATTGAATGCACATAGTAGTAACACCCAGAAAATAGTCAGTGATATTCGAATGAATGTTTTAGCTGCTAAAGAAAACAGATTTGAAATTAAATTCCTATGGATACCATCACATGTTGGCATCTCAAGGCACGACATTGTTGATATGCTTGCAAAGACAGCCTGTAGAAAACCAATAAGTTACATCATGAGCAGTTCATGATCATTGTGAAGCCGTGAGTCAGCCTTTCACCTACAGTAGTTTTACAGTAGAGTAATGACTTCTAGGTCCTTTTGATTACACTCTGAGTCTTTAACTGATGTTTATACATTAATTTCATATTTTCAAGAAGATTGTAAGGTTATTTATATTTGTTGATAGTTTTATTGTCATGGTCTTTATTAAATTATATTAATGTTTATTATTATTAATTATTATATGTTTTACAACTTTTATTTATATATTTTAGCTAATTTTTATCAAGCAGTTATGTACATGAATGCATGCACATGCATATACACTTACATATAATGTAAATACAGTAAATAGAGTCATGATTTCACCAGTTCGCTTGTTGGAGTATGGCCCAGACAGGTGCACGTGTAATGGACCACATCCTCCATGAGCGTGCTGCTGGGCCCTTCCTGGTTGGCGTTGGAGGAGGAGCAGGTTCAGGCCGTAGTGTTTTACTACGTCCCTATGGTCCATTGTTTGCTCTACATCAGGATGGCGATCATGTACTAACTTGTTCACCATCTGGGCCTATTGTGTATAAGGTTAGTAGGTTGCATGATAAAAATAAATGTATGCAGATTTAAGCTGCTTCGAGCAAGAAGTGCACGTTGGGTAGATGAAACCTTTGCTGATGTGCTGATGTAATGCCTACTAATAGTTACAAATACAGTATAGCTATATTTTAAGTAGTTTTAAGTCTGGTTTTAACACATACAAACTACTCAACTTTACATTATTTCAATTTACAGCTCTATTCATAAAAAAAATGGTTCCTAGTATCCTTTCTACATATTTTATCTTCTTAAGTTTCCAACACTGCTCTCTAGTTCTGATTATTTCAGTTTCAAAAACACTTTGCTATCTAGTTCCTCATTTTTTTTTTTAACAAAGTTGTGTTGGAGTATTTTTCATTTTTATGGCTTGGCACTCTTCAGTAACTCTGCTTAGCATAAGTCACTAGTACACACAGAACGCTGAAGAACGGCAGGCTTTTAGTAACAATATCAGCACATTGTGGACAAATATCACAAATAGTCTTGTCCCATGCACATTATGGGGAACTCGTGGTGTTCACAGATCACTCCTGAAACAAGGAAAATGATTAGACTGCTAAGCAACTCTCTGACCTACTAAACCCCCTTTTAATCCGACCGCCCCAACCACAAGGTGGAGGTCCAAGCCATGCAAGGATCAGGAGGAAATTCCCCTTGCCAGGCACAAGTGAATAAACATCAGTGATTCTTCCCAAGACCCATTGGTTTGTTAAAGCTGAGTTAACTTGCCATTCTTGGACATTGTAATTTATAGGGGGTAATTTATAATGAATGTAATTTATACATTCCTTTATTCTTTTGAATGCTTCACAGTATGTATACATGCCAATTGATTTGTGTGTCTCTTGCTCCTCCTCCACTTTGATTCAAAGCCTCTTTCCCTGGTGCCATCAGCAAGGACCATTTACCATCAGATATCTTCCCTGGGGTTTTTGTTTCTTCTCATTGTTGGGCTCCTCAAATTAAAGATGTGGCAGGTAGTGCCTGGAGACATGATCATTGCTGTAAGAGTGTTGAGCAGGAGTGACAGTCAGAGTATGATGGTTGTGCTTTCTTCAGTTCTTAGAGGTAGAGATTATCACTACAAGTGTTCATTTATTATTTTAAATAATTATAATTAAATAATAATAATGACTTATTATTTATTTTTTCCATGGCTGTCCTTTCTTGTTGATGGTAGAAAAGGTTTGAATGTGGTGTTCCAGTGACTCATGTGTGTGATGACCCTTGCCTTCAGTCTTTGTCTGAGGAGAGGAAAATAATGATGCCCAGGGTTAGTAAATTTCATTGGGCTTGTCCCTCGCCATCCTGACAGCCTATTGTGATGAGCCCTAGTGATGGTATGATGGAGAGGGGGGAAGGGGGAAGGACATCTGGCTGCCTTTTGACAGGCATAGACTCAAAATGCCTGGGATTTTGAGCTAATTACTTAGAAGTTTTGCTCAAGTTTAGTCTCTTGTTGCTCTTGTCCAATGTCTGAGTTTTGGCCAGCTGTCTACTTCACTTCTCAGCACTGTCATTTGCAACATATTGATATAGGTGTGACAGCATCTCATTCCCTGCCTTTTTCTAATGGCAAAGAAGATTCTGTCATGCCCTGTTTCATTTTAAGTCTTTCATAGCTGAATACAGTACTTACCCTTGCAACAGTAACAAGTCCCATTGATCCTGGAGAGAGGGAAGTTGGGACTTTTAAGTGCCTTTAAAGGAATGACATGGAACATTGAACCCTTCCATGGACACAATAAACAACACCTAGGCAGACCATATTAAGTATCATAAGCTGGGACAAAGGAAAACACAACTCACCAGTTGTGATTTTCACACAGCTTCTCAAACAGTGTCTCCATTGTCAACCCAAGTTAGGAGCAATAATTGAGATACTTATGAACAGGGCTCCTGGCCTACCCAGCTATGGAAAAAACAGCCTTCCCCAAAGCAAGAAAGGAGAAAGTGAAAATCTCTTTACCCGAAAACAGTTGCCCCATTTAGAGCCTCAAGGGTTGAGGACCCAGCAGCATCAGCCTCCAACCCCAAATCCACCAGCACGGCTAGAAATCAAAAGCATTTATTTATTGCAGTCAGTGAGGGAAACTGACTGCGATCAATAAATCATTGTCCGTGACAGTGGTCAAGAGGAATGCCAGTGGTTGCTGGAATCGAGAACTCTGCACCGAAGAAATATAAGAAAACTCACTTTTGCAAATGGAGTGGTAAACAGATGGAACATGTTAGCCGAGAAAGTGGTGGAGGCCAAATCCATCAGTAGTTTCAAAGCGTTGTATAACAAAGAGTGCTGGGAAGACGGGACACGAGTGTAGTGCTCATTCTGTAACTACACTTAGGTAATTATGTAATTACTACATTCTGCAAATCTACAGAATCAAACTTGAAGCCTGTAAATGATGCCATAACACCTCAATCAGAAGAGTCACTGGCAAGGAAATGGGAAAGAATGGTTATGAAAAGTCTTGTGCATTTTTTCTATAATATAGTGAAAAGGCATATACAGTAGTTGTGAAAAAGTTGGACATTATAATTTATTCTGCGTAATATAGGAATATTTGTAATACAGTAGTTTGATTTCTAAATCCTGAATATACTATAGTTTTATAAAATACAGTATACTTTTCTAACTTCGTCAAAAGCATTACTGTATTTGTGTTTCTATTATGTTCTATAATACCCATATTTAAAGCTTATCACTTGCTCAAATATTCTCATTAATTACTATCACTAATTCTTACTCATGTCTGTAGCCATGAAACAGTTTAAATATTAGTGACAATATACTTGCTTGATAGTACTGTACAGTATACAAGTTGTGAACTGCCAGTAAAATGACACATTTTATCTTAGGTTGGTGACAGCAGTCTGGAGCAGGCACTGGTGGTAGGAGGACACAAGTCACCTGTAGTTACAGTGGACTGGTGTAATGCACTCCAATGTGGCACGTCGGTAGCGGCAGCACTTGATGGCTCCGTCACTGTTGCCACTTTAATGCATCAGTGAAAAGATTTTGTGTGCATGCATACATGTGAAAATAATCACTGAAAGCAAGCCCACACCCAATATTTTTTATACATTACTGCAAGATAACTTTAGTACAATATCAGTTTTTATATAGTTTAGTTAATATATATGAGAAAAAATTTTAACATTAAATTTAGAGATGCATATGAAACTACTACAATGGCAATCCCTTTTTTTTTTTTTTTTTTTTTTTTACATTATGCTTTTAAATGTTTAAATATGAAATTTTAGATTTATATGGAAAGAAATCCTTAAGGATTACTTTGGCTGTGTATTAATATTGGTAGTCAGAAAATGTGAGGCTTGCAGGTTGACTAAACATTCCTCATGAAAACCTACTCGAGACATCCTCGCCAGGTTCTCTGCAACTGTTGTCAGTATGTTCTGCTAAAATTTACAGGTAAATAGATAATACTGTGCCACTCCCCATTTGGACACACTTCCTGGTGAAGGTTTACCAATTTTAATAAAGAAAATCATTTTTTACTAGTGTCGACTGCTCCACGTGTGTGAACACCAAACCATCATGGTCACGTGTGGAAAGTGTTTAGTATTTTTTAGTACTGTTTAGTACTTTAGTAGGAGGTACTCATATTAAAGTCGTATGGCGCAGATGGGTGATAGACAAAAGGTTGTGTGTTCAATTTCCACAGAATGGGAAATAGACTTACAGGTTCCAGAAGATGAAGGAAATGTCAGCACTGTGAAGAAATGCCCAACACACCACTGGAACATTATCTAACACCGTGCAGTTACAAACCCAATAAGATTTCAACTTGGATTCAACAGAGCAGTTGTTGTTGTTAAACACATGGGGCAAAATCTTATTGAAGCGACCATACGAGTCATAAGTACTCATTCTCTGCCTAAGTAAAACGGAAACAAGCAACATTTAGTGGGCCAGCCAGAGGCTTAGGGCCTGCACAGGACATTATTATTATTATTTTCCATGAGGAAAAAAAAAATTCCCCACAGCGGGACAGAAATGTTACGGTAAAGTTTCCTTTCACTTGATTCCTCTGTTCACCTAGTAGTAAATAAGTACCTGGGAGTTAACTTTGGCAACTGTTGTGGGTTGCATCTTAAGTCAGAAGCAAGGTACCCCCTATGCCAGCAGGGCTTCCTGTCCCCAACTTTGGGAAACCATCATGATTAAAACCAACTGTGATAAATTACTGGAATGAGAAAAAAAATCCTGAAAGTGTTTATTAGTTGTCTCTTGTGATGAGCATCTTGTAAAACATTGATACTGTGGCCTGGATGGCAGCATCAACACATCAACAGCTTGTGTGGTGTAACAGGTCCATGCCTCTTGTCACCTCAATTTTTTAGTGTGTAAAATTTGTAAATATATCTAATACAAAATATAATTTTATCTATAGAAGATAAGTACAATAGTCATAGAAGTAAATATTGGTTCATGTAATTTTATTAAGTGATACCTAAAATAAGTGCATATTTATACATTAATAAGATTAAAATTTCATATTTTTATCTATATTCTGTATATTTATTCTTCCTTTAGTCCATTGACTTGCAAAAATATTTTAAGGATAGACAGATGTCTTTCTGTGCAGTGATGCAAATGTCTACGCTGCCCTTCTTCACCCCTTCCTAGCACAAACTTGTGGAGGTAGCCTGGGCACCATTGTCGACACGTATGCTAGAATGCCTATCATGAGCCATCAGACCACTCTTGCTCCAAAAACCTTTTTATACCCTCACAATGGAGCCTTCAATTGAGGCACCTTAATCTCTTACCAGGAATAACCATTAGACCAGTGGTCAACTGGTGGTCTGCAATTGTTTGTGTATTGTATATTACTATTTTCTTTAACCGTTATATTTAATGGCATCAAATAGTTTGACTTTAATAACTTATGATTTCTTGTTTGGTGGACTGTGGGATTCACATCTGTAATCAGCGGGATTTAAAATTATGAATTTGGTGACCAGTGAGCTCCGGAAAGGTTGGCAACTGCTGATCTAGCATGTCCTTGTCAAATCCACATACTGTAAATTTTACCTGGCTGCATTCCAATTTCTTGGCACACTGGTTACCAACACAAGTTGCTAGTGGTTCTGGCTACTCTTCCCACCTTCTGACATCCCACTTGGGGTTATGGCTGATGAACAACTTACCTTCCTATCTTGTATTCAGCTGAAACTGATGCTGACATTGCAAAATATTGTACCCACAAATACTCTCCACTCATCATGTGCAACCATTAGTCTTGTTATTGTACCCTTTTAACCCTTCACAAAATCAAAATCTTACAGATGCAAGATGGACAAATTTTGCTAGATTTCCAGCCACATTGGTATTGTCTCTAATAACCCTTGTGGACACCTGCTGCTACTAATGAAGCTATTTTTGCCTGTCCAGCTCTTTGGAATCAACTACTTGCTTGAATTTCTAGCATGTCATTCATAACACTAACCAGAACTGTTGGAGATAGATGGTCGGTCTTTAGAAACAAGTGGAAGAACTTGAGCCACAAACTCAACCCTCTGTAAGGTGCTGGTTTGAGAGCATTGTAGAGCACCTCCTCAATGTCTATTTTCAGGAAGATAGTAAACTTTATTTTCTCAGTGTTCTCTAAAATATTTGTGGTAATCCCAATACTGTATGTTGAATGGTGAAAAAAAAAAACAAAATTTATTTTCAAAACTTTCATTACGAACATGCATATTATTTAACTGTACGTTTTATCTCGTTGTTGGACAAGATACAGCACAGCATATATATATATTTTGTTTCTTAAAATTTAGTTTTCATGTCCAGTGATGATGCAGAAATTGTTCAAAATCCCACAATTTATCAACAGTTCAACTTACCTATAGTAAATGAGTTCATTTATGATTGATTGCAAAACCAAATTAACCACTTACGCTTCCATTAACTACATAATGGTCCACACTTGACAGGAACAGTAATAATACTTAATGTAAATAAATAAATGGCTATTTGAGTACCCAAAATTGAACTTTTAAAATCATGTAAGAAATGATAGTAGCAAGATGATATCGATCAGTGACTCGGAAAAGTCAAGACATTGTACAAAGAAAATGCAGGGCACTTGACTACCTGAAAGAAATCACTTAACTGCACCCATATATTTAAGTAAATACTTCCAGGGCAATACAAACATTCACACATTAGTCTTGTCAGTTTCCCTATTCACCAGTTAACATGATATCTCCTATCTACACTGGACTCAATTTTGTTTTAACAAAATACATCATCATGTAACTGGTGGGATGAGATTAGCAACCATTGCAACATTCAGTCAACATTTCAAAAAAACTACAATGTACGTAACATACCAAATCGGCAGCATCACTACAATACAGCAAGAACTTACTTATTTACATCTTGGTTAACCATGCTTTTATCAGACATCTCTAGTTCATGCTATTGAGATGAACAAAAAATTTTGTTTTAATGTACAGAATTAATCATGTCTTGAGCCCTGATTAAGCAAGTATTAGACGCGTGGGGAGTTGACATACTGAGTATGTAACAACGCAATGCCAGTCTTGACTCAGACGTTAAGATGTTTGACTCTTTCGGTACACATGGTCGAGCTAAACTAAAGGAGTACGAGTATTATTACAATTGTATTATTGAATATACATCTAATTATAACCAGTCATATAATCACACCACCGAGGCCTATCAGTGCTGTAATTAACACAAGGTTAAGTCTGGCCAACCAGAGTTGCAGGCAGAGTAACACAAGCTATAATAAATATGACTGATTTCAAGTAGCTTCTACAAGACCAAATACACAAAGATTTCTCAACATAAATAACTGATGACTTTTGTTTCCAGTATAAAATGTACAAAACAAGCTACTGCTCAAGTCTTTATGTAACCAACTACTAAAAATTATTTTTAAGTCGTGTGGAGAGGCAACAGCACTTGTAAACACAGAGAAAGTAATAATGACCGACATTACTTCCTGAAAAGGCTTTATTATTAAAAAAAAAAATCCTCACCTTGTACACGAGTATCCTATTTTATCAAGTCTATTAATTATTTCTATGTATGAAACAGCCTAGTGAAACTTTGCCCATAGTATTGCATTACATAAACATTTGTGCTTTTTAAAATCAATTAAATTTCTATATTTAAAAAAAAAACAAGACTGAAAATATTAAAGACTATAATCATCAGCTACTACAATCCATGTGCTTTCAACTTTTAATTAAAATACATAATGGACATTACACTATATAACTAATGCTTCAAAAATTTTGAATTACTTTTCCCCCTGGCAAAAGTCTTAAAATTTCAAATTAAGTTACTTACCACTGTCTGACTTTATAACAATCAACATTCCCTTACAGTACAATTCAGAGCAAATTTAAATAATTGCAGTAACCTTTGGTATACAAATCAAATCAAATCAAATACTATACCCCCACACCTGCCTGTTTACTACTGGTGAACTCCAGTCATCCTTCCCTGGCAAAGTCTCAAAAGGCAAGCTGTCTGCTTCTTTGAAGGGACTGACAACAAATGCCATAGGCACTTAAAATTTTTATGCAATATTGAGGCAGACAAAATTTGCAAATTGTAACCTCTTAATGTGTGTGCCCTCCATTGTTGCTACAACCACCTGCTAAATGTTAATATTCTGCCACATCATTAATGATTCGTTAAATTTAAAGTACTTGAAGAGAGCAATTAATTATATATACTAACCTTGTAATTCTAAATTTGTGTAAGCTTTCATTTGTTACAAATCTATTACATATTTGTAGTGATTTGGGCAAGAGAAGGCACTACCACCGTCAAGAGGATGCAGTGTATGCACACAATTAAGACACATGGCTGGAACTATAACTAAAGTGGCACATCAATATGATTTATGAACTCTAATTTAAATTTTTGATAATTTCTGTTTATGACCACAATTCTCAAAATATTAAAAATATTCCACTTTGTAACTGCCAAAAAATGCTACATCTACTGAGAATACTTAAGTTTAAGACTGTACATAGTAACCATAATCTGTATGCCTCTGCATTGAATGTCTGGTTTCTTTTCCTACCATTTAATATGAGCACAAAATTCTCATTACAAAAATAAATAGAACGTAAAAATTTATTGATGGACACGATACTAAAAAGTGGGACAGATCACATCCAGTGCATGTACCAATTTTTTGTTTTAATTGTTTTGAAAACTTTAGCAAATACATATTAGAACCCTATACAATTTTCATATTTTCTCAAATCAATTACTACACATTCAATATCTGTGCTTGACACACAGTACAACCACTGACAGTTTATTAAAAGCACCGCAGACCACTGCCATAGGTACTCGTGTAACTGCAATTCTTACTTTCTAGCAAGTACTACAACAAGTTCTGACATGTTGCTGAAGTTTCTCCAACTTGATGTGTCAACATCCCCCACACACACTACAAAATACTCCTTATTTAAAATTAACTTTCCCTTCCAGTCCAAGGTTAATTTACATGCTTGGAAAAGTTATAAGCACAATTCATACACAGGTGTACTTTGATACCTGAAATGTAATAACAAGGGTCTTGAACAAATGCATTATTTGTCAAGTGTAAAAATGACATACTTTGAAGAGAACTGTTGACAATGAGACTGGACTACATGTTAATATAGAGTCATTTTGTTTCATGGAAAATACACTGGCAAGTTAAATTAAGCCCTTAATATGCCAGGCATTTGACTTACAGCAAGTGACACCTGATGCATGGGTATGAGACACTAACCCCAGCAAGTTTGTTCAAATATGATCATCCAACATGCACACACTGGGTTAAACTATTCTTTGGACATTGCCTTCATACTGTAGTTGTGGCATCACAGGCCTTGTGTGTACATATTACACACACATACACACACACACTACTTTAGGGGCTACCTTCCATGGCCCCAAGTGATCCTTTATGATGGAATGTATTTTTTTCTACTGGACACCTCAACACTGACTACTACTATCAGATGATTATATTTGCTAAACACTCCTTCAGAGCAGCTATTAAAATTTATTAGCCAAAATATGAACTGCACATTTTTAGCTATCTCTAGGATCAAAACAAAATACATTTATATCTTAATTTAATTTTACTGTACAGCTGGCAGAACTAAAGTAGCATCTAACTGCTGCTTTCTCTTCATCCAATTTAATTTTATGTTTCAAGTCCCGGTAGTACAATCGGGTTTGTTCTCGACGCACAATAGAGAATTCCGGGCGGGACAGAAATGGTTGGGTACATTTCCTTTCACCCAATGCTGCTGTTCACCTAACAGTAAGTAGGTACTCAGGAGTTAGTCAGCTTGTTGTGGGGTTGCATCCTGGGCGGGGTCAGTAATTCAACCTCATGTGTGGGAATGGGGGGGGGGGCACCCTCAATATAAGCCCTAACGTGTATGAATACACTGGCTGCCTGTCCCCCGTCACAACAAATTATATTATTATGAATTAAGTGTAAACATGTACAAGCAAAGCTCCAAAATAGCTTTAATGAGCAGATATTTGGTACGACTACCAACACTGAACAGTAATTCCTGCTAGCAATACTGCCAATGAGAACATATACCAAGTTATAGAAACTGTTTCAGGATGCATTCATCAATATCAAATCACAAAAGGTCATCTCCATTGTATATGCATTTAAATATACAATATTTTTTAAACAAAAACAAATCCTCATACATACACCCACTGTATATGACGTTACCCCTGCACCCCAGCCCCATTAACTTTACCCATGCAAGACAAGACACTTTCCACTAAATTGACACCACATATGTTACTTCTTAAATTATCTCTTGTGCATTGTAATTTAAAAATGCATAAAAAGTAAGGCTTTAGGTACTCGTAAGAAAACTGATGTTATTAGCCACAACTACTACAAGTTGCTAGTGTAAGAAAGTGCAAGATATTGGAGTGATGCTTTTGGCAGTGTGTGATTGATTCCAAGTTTGAGAGACAACTCAATGTGTTACACACAACAAACTCCCCATTTCTTTCACTACCTGCATACAGAGAGAGCAAGAATTGGTTGGTCCTAAATCTAGACTTAAAAAAAAAAAAAGCACATTCACTAACAAAACACTCAAAACTATACAAAGATATACAAATTTACAGACACTGCTTTTTCATGAAGCAGAGAAGCTCTGGTACTGGTGACAGTTGCCATAACAAAATAACACAACTGAGTAAAGCACTAATGCTGGAAATAGGATATCAATCACTATCATATGAAAGACATGATGGAGAGGGGAGAGGTAATATGGCTAACAACCTCAATGAACAATAACTAAGTTAAATGCACATGCAAATGATGTTCAACAAAATGACAACTATGCATTATGTTTAAATGTATGGGTAAAAATAGAGATATTTGAGAGTAATGAGACATGATGAGTAGCATTTGGTATCGCAACCAAAACTGTATGCAAACGTACGTGTACACTCACTTTCACTCACACACATACACACACACACACACTAGGAAACTGAGCTGCAAGTCCAACCCGTCCTCTTAAAAATAACGTCACTTTTCGCTTGTATGCGCGCTATAGGCAAATTTGGACGTAATTTGAAATGAAATCGACTCACAAAAGTGACGTATTGTTCCGTTTTCTGTTTGAGTCGTCCGGCTTACTCGGTAAGGTTAGAAAAGGAAACTTTCAATTAACATTTTTCATAATGTTTTGAAACATTATAAGAATTTCCTGCCCACCTAACCTATCAGAGGACCCTTAACTTACTGTTGTTGAAAAAAATAATCCCAAATTTATTTTCACTTTTTTTTTTCATTTTCAAATTACGTCCACTTTCGGCCATACGGGCAAACAGCCAAAAGTGACGTTATTTTTAAGAGGACAGGTTGGCAAGTCATGTGATGTGTTCCTGATGCACTTAAGCCGCAAGCAGCTAATAAATTAATCATGTAAAACTGGATAGCTGCATTAACATACTAATTTTACAGTATTTAGTACTTTGCATTAAAAATAATACAATTATATATATAAAAAAAGCCAAGAATCCTTGCCTGCCTGCATGGCAAGAATTTCAAGATTTGTTTCATAAATCTTCATGCCATCTGCCCCTTTGGGTTTGTTTTGGTATAGCACAAAAATTATAAAAGTATAAATGATTACCTTCTCATTACAATCCTAATCACAAGAACAATCAACTACTACCGGCTTATGTGTATAGGAATTAAAAAATTATAACTAGAAATTGTGCTGGTCAGCTGACAAAGAGCATTAAAATTGATCTTTACATAACATTATTTGCACACATTACAAAAATCTTACTATAGTGAACATGCTGCCATTCTAGGCATAGCCTAGATGCAATAAATGTACCTAATATCCCCTACATTGCAGTTGGAAACTTGAGCATCAAAAGCATGAATCAGAGTTAAAACACTACACTTTCCCTGTCTTGGAAATTTCAACTTGTCTTTGGTGCAATTCTAAGGCAATACACTGGGATGACAAAATACGAAACTTCCTTTACATTTGTGACACTACAGATTTGTAAAGGTACAATTCACTATGGAGCTTCAAAATATTTATTCCTATTGCATATATGCTCCCTAAAGTGAATCAGTTCCAGAAGGGGAGACAATTACAAGCATAATATATTACCATCCCATTAAGTCACCATACACTGGGATTGTGTTGAAACTCTATAAAAGACACTTACATATAAAGCATGTCATTCAATGACATAAAAAGGATGTATACCATTGTCCATTTTTTCAAAGATCAAGAAAAACAATGTTCTTTGAAGATATGGGTCTTTAAGATACTGGGATTAATTTATGTGTGATGCAGATTTTGTAATGTGATGTTTATACTTTTGCTGATGATCATACCACTTCATTCACACCAGTTACTGATAATTTCCCTGAATATATGTATCACTGTCCCTTCTCTCTCTCTCTCAGTAAAAGTTTTCAATTGTTCAAATGTTTCATTTTGAGTTGTATAAAAAATGCAGTCTTGGTTTAAAGGCAGCAGGCAGTGAAACCTTAGGCCACATGTTGAAGTTTAATATCCAACAGCTTAAATGTCAGGTTTTTACAATAAAAAATTACAGCTGCTGCCACTTAAAAGTGGAACACACATCCTGGGACTAATAGTTTGTAATAATCTAAACACTTCCAAAAAATAGGAAACATGTAGATTATAGTCTCGCAGATTATCCTCATTTTGACATACCATATGTAATTTTTTCACAAAGCTGCATTAGGGCTGGATACCTTGTACAGAACACACACATTTAATAACAAAATAACTTGTGGCCTACACATTTGTCCTTTTTAGTATACACTAATATTATTGGCTGCCATAATAAATACCTGAAACAGACAATATGAATTATCTCCAAGCCATTTGGGCAAGTTTGCATTTTTGTGCCAGATCAGGTTGTCATTAGCTGCATTATTAGGTCATTCTTCTTGTTTCTGGAATAATCCATAGGAAAATAGTACTGTATTTGGGTTCAAGTTTCATTTTGTAGCCAAAGATACAAGGAGAATCAATACGACCTTGGTAACAATATGGTGAAGAAGTAACACTAGGTAAAGGCCGGATACAATTCCATATCAGCGCAGCCACCTGATCTGGGCTTGATGATCGAGGGTCAGTAGGCCACCGCAGCCTCCTTGTACTCGGAACCTTCTAGAGTAAAGAAATCTTCTAATTTCCATGTAAGGGTCTCAAAGGTGGGTCTCTTCATAGGATCCTTGTGCCAACACTCAACCATTATGTCATAGAGTGCAGGAGGACAGCCGGGTGGTGGAGGCATACGATATCCGTGCTCAACTTGATGCAACACCTCTGCATTGGTCATTCCTAAGAGAGATCATTAGGTATAATAGCTATTCTCCCAGATTAATTTAGTATATTAATTTCAGTACAACCCTGCTAAAGATTATAGAACTTTATTCAATATATTTCACTAGACCTTAAAGATATGGAATTTATTGCAGTAAATTCCTCTGGATTTATACAAGTGGTTTTGTAAGGGAAACATAAAAGTTGAAGTAATGTTTTGGTTTAATGAAGTCAACTTTATTTTATGCTTCATAAATTCAATATTGGTACCTAGAGTGTCATTTTTCTATTAACATTGTCTAGTAATTACAGTCGTACCTCCATTTTCGAATTTAATCTGTTCCCAAAGACGGTTCGAAAACTGAAAATTCAAAATCCGAAAGGAATTTTCCTGTAAGAAATAATGTAAATTGAATCTGTCCCACACACCCAAAAATATTAACTAAAAAATACATTTTATACAGAATACTATTGTACTCATTTTTTAACTGCACTTTCTTTACCTTTACCGAGGACTCTTGTTGGTGTATGGGAGATGATGAAGGAGGGAGGAAGGGAGGGAGGGAGGAGCAGTGTTGGTGTAAGGGGAGGGTGAGGGGGGAGGCGGCGGCGAGACTGTTCCCTGCTCGCCTTAAACACTTTCATATCTGCATCACTGGTTCCAGAGTTTCCTTTCACACATTTCACTGCCTCTTATGTTGCAGCCAGTCAGAACCAGTCAGTTACAGTCACAACAAGTCAGTCAAGCATTCAGTCAAGACCAGTCACAGGCAGTCATAACTAAAGGCAGTCAAGCATTCACAGTTGTTGTAGCAACCAGTTGCTACATGCAGTCAGTCAATCAACCATTCACAGCCAATCAACCATTAAGTCAATCAACCAGTCAGTTAGTAAACAATAAGATTTTAATGACAGGCGCTCAGGAAGTCTGCCTCCCGATCCATCAGCTGGTAGCAAGGAAGCCCACCGTATTAATACCGTCCATATGGCTAGGAGGAGTACAGCCGAGGAAGGGGGGCAGTAGCGAGATGGTTGGCAGAGCTGGTCACCCTCCCCGCTACCTCCATCCCCCCATCACACACCCTCCCCAGCTGTACCCCTCCCAGCCATATGGATGGTATTAATACGGTGGTCTTCCTTGCTAACAGCTGATGGATCGGGAGGCAGACTTCCTGAGTGCCTGTCATTAAACTCTTACTGTTTACTGACTGACTGGTTGCAACTGTGAATGGTTGATTGACTGAATGCGTGACTGACCGTAAATGCCTAACCGGTTGCTACCACAACTGTGAATGCTTGACTGCCTTTGGTTATGACTGCCTGTGACTGGTCTTGACTGACTTCTTGTGACTGACTGACTGGTTCTGACTGGCTGCCACATAATAGAGGAAGTGAAATGTGTGAAAGGAAAATCTGGAGCCAGTGATGCAGATATGAAAGCATTAAGGCGAGCAGGGAACGGTCTTGTCGCCACCTAGTTTTTCTTTAAATCTGCTTTTGTTCTGGTAATATTTCTTATATGTGTCAGGAGGCTACTGAACATCCATAGACCTCTCATATTCATAGTGTTCTATGATTGCATCTATGGCACCTCTACTCTGCATTTCCTACCATATCATTTTCTCCAGAATACTGTTATTTTACAATGTAAATTTGGGACCTGGTCTTTCAGTATCTTCCATGTACATATTTGATACCTATCTCATTTCCTTTCCAGTCAACCCATCCTCCGAATTGACAGTACGGTTTAATACTAAGTGTAATAAGTCCATGTCCTTACTGTCATACACAGTACATAATTGCACTTATGGGGCTGTTACATTTACCTCCCAATTTATTCTCCTCGTTTTCTGTTAAGACGCTCAGAATTTTAGGAAGAAGTTTTTAAGTTCAATTCACTATACACATGTTTTAAATATCAGGAATTTCTTTTTCAGTTTTATTAAACAATAGAGATTTTATACAAAATTTGAAAATATCCTGAGTTACTTTACAATTTATTGAAATATATTAGTTTTGTTTTATTAGTTTTATAAAACTGTAATATTAATATACCTATAGGTTAAGTACTAATTGTAATTAAGAAGCAATAAAATGCTTATCTTCAAGCAGGTATCGAGCAGTGCTCAGGGTGAGACAACAATTTGAATATTATAAGTATTGTGATAGTATCCCTAGATTAGAAGGTTCTCATAATCAATTCTATAATTTTTCTAGTTGAAGTTATATTTGCTTGGTTATGACCCTTAAATCCTAGGTCATTAAACAGCATTATTCCCAGATCCTTTACATGTTGCTTTCCTACCATGAGTAGATTTGATGTGTCTTGTATCCTGTATTTCGTTTAACCACTGTACTGCGCACACCATATCATGGGAAAAGGGATTGCACACACCAGCATAGCATGTTTGTTAGTACAGTGAACCTTTAGTGACGAGTGACTCCAGTTACAAGCATTTCGAGTAATGAGCGAGCCACTTGCAGAAAATGTCTCAATTAACGAGCAAACCACATGGTGCTTCCTAGCATTCCCGCTGGTTCTACGACGACAGTTGTTGCTGTTGTTGTTTCGCAAGACGAGCGTTTCACATAATGAGCTTGGTGCCGGAACGGATTAAATTTGTTAATCGAGGCACCACTGTATATCATACGAGTCAGAACTCTTATGATATACTAAGAACTATAGAAGAGAGTAGTGCATTACACATAATGCACAACTTACCTGGGTAAGGTATTCGTCCATAAGTGATAAGTTCAGTAAGGAGGATACCAAATGACCACACATCACTCTTTATGGAGAACTTGGAGTAGTTGGCTGCCTCAGGTGCAGTCCACTTTATGGGGAAGCGGGCACCAACTCTCGCCTCGTATTCATCCTCCTGCAGACAAAAATAGTTAATTGATACAGATTTCATTATCACCATAAAAATTTATGAATCATTTTATTACTGATTTTGAAATTTAAAGTAAGAGTCTGAGGAATCTGGCTTGAAAATGATTTCAGATAATAAGTGAAACAATAATGACACTTAAGTTTGCAAAAATCAGTTACCGCAAACCTAGCATAAAGTAAGAACACTGACAATATAAAAAGCACATTCAAAAGTGAATATTAGAAAAGGAGAACACACTGTGCTTTAGTGTAAAAATGTACTGCAAGCATATGAACAAAAATTTATGTTATAATGGTGGCTAAAAATACTAAAAACTATCACACCACTCTGATGTTATAACACCAGTTATGATGTCGTACATTTTTAGGGAAGAACACACACGTCCTAATGTACTTTCATTATACAAAATATCAAACTATAACTCAATGAATTTACTACATGGTATTTGTCATATTAGCAGCATTGCTTAAGAATAACCTCAATAATTCATAATAACTTAAATTGTTGAACACTGGTTCAAAACAAAATTATAGGTTGATCATGATGGAAAACAAAACCAAGTACTAATACAGTATTTCGACATCCATATGAACACTGCTGAACTACACAAACTGGCATAAACATTTTCAAAGCAGCATATTCTGAACTGTTGGAAAAAAAATACAAGTAATACCAACCTATTAAAGAACACACAGAAACAACAGCCTAAGATGGCTACTATAAAGCATAGAAGTGACTAGTATAGAAGCAAAAGCCTGAAATTGACGCAAACTAGAACTGTTGGTCTGGCAGTGACCACGACCCCCACACCAGCACTGTTGGTCTGGCAGTGACCACGACCCCCACACTAGCACTGTTGGTCTGGCAGTGACCACGACCCCCACACTAGCACTGTTGGTCTGGCAGTGACCACGACCCCCACACTAGCACTGTTGGTCTGGCAGTGACCACAACCCTCCACACTAGCACTGTTGGTCTGGCAGTGACCACGACCCCCACACTAGCACTGTTGGTCTGGCAGCTACTATGACCCCCCACACCAGCACTGTTGGTCTGGCAGCGACTATGACCCCCCACACCAGCACTGTCGGTCTGGCAGCGAGTATGACCCCCCACACCAGCACTGTCTGTCTGGCAGCGACCATAACCCCCACACCAGCACTGTCGGTCCGGCAGCGACTATGACCCCCTACACCAGCACTGTCGGTCTGGCAGCGACCATGACCTCCACACTAGCAGTGTCGGTCTGGCAGCGACCACAACCCCCACACTAGCACTGTTGGTCTGGCAGTGACCACGACCCCCACACTAGCACTGTTGGTCTGGCAGTGACCATGGCCAATCAGCAGTCTGCATCAGTATTAAAATCTTTGCATCAAGCTAACTTGCCCAACTTTGGCAACTTGGTTATTTACAAGAATTGTACAAAGAGATATTTATTATCTACATTTGGTTACCACTCAATGCGATTTGAAGTTGAGACATTTTCAGTATTTTTAAACAATTTTCCTAAACCCTTAAATTCACCTAAATACATCACATTTTGTATCTACATTCACCAATGATTAAAACATTATGTGGTAAGATGATCATTTAGCTGACATGCAATTTATAACTTGCACATTAAAAGTTAAATAACAATAGTAATGATAATATATAACAAAATAATAATTAGGAGTAATATTGGCACTTATCAGCCAAAATTGGTATGGGACGGGAAAGGTGGTGGCTGCTTATCACTCGACAGCCAAGGGGCATGGAGGCCAAATTATAGTCAGCTCTTGCTCCTTGCACTGTAGTTTAGAAAATGCAAAGTACACCTGTATCGTTAATGTTTACAATAAAATTTTAATTACATTAGGGATGGTTGACCCGTATGTTTGCTGTCATGGGGTTACGGCATGAGAGCCTTTTTAGCAAAACATGTCTCACAGTTCTAGCGTTTTCAACTTTATGTACTCTCTAGCCTCCCATATGTCATCTGAGTCCAACTGTATATCCCAGGACCATGTTATGACCTTGTAACTTCTTACAAATTTCAGTGTTTGATGCATTCCTATTTGATGCACTCTGGATTGCAATCCCACCCCCCCCGCCCTCCAACATTTTGCAACTCCTGCTGTAAGATATACAGAACTCAAATGAAATGTTCATTACATTAAGTGACAAAATATAAACAAATCTTTAGAGCAGTAACTTGGCTGTCTCCCACAGTCTAGTCTAAAAAATGAACAAGATGAATGCATGGAATAGCCCGAGATTTCCAATGAGCATGCATATGTCTTTGCAATACTGTAGCCGACACCACAAATCGGCAACAATGAACTACAATGCTTGGAATTTGTGCAGGATTTAAAATGTTTATTAGATTCCTAAAAACAGATTTACAGGGAAAATAATGCAATATAAAAAAAGAGCACCAACACTACAGTTAGTCCTGGTATGTGTGGTTGAGTGAGAAACCCCTGCCACACTCATTATAACTGACTGCTAACCAAACATGATCACATCCCAAGAGCCCCTGCCAGTAGCAAGTTAGTGTACGAGTCATTATGATAAGAATCCAACCATCCCACCAAGCAACCGACATTTCTTCAATGATTTCTTGCCAAGTAGAGAAAATCTACATCATTGGTAAGTGTTCAGATTGTTATTATAATATACATAATTTAACATACAGTACTGTACACAAAATGTTTATTGTGACAAGTACAAAAGTATATTTTGTAAGCCTGTAAAAAGAAAAATATGCATATAAAGTTAAGTTCCCTGTGAAGATAATCTTAACACTGGTATAAGGTCTTTCAGTAACATTCCTTGCACAGATCATTTATAAAGCATACCAGGTACTTATTATTTGCAAGTCAATAAATAGTCACATTTTATAAAGCATTCATTATATTTCTGGTTATATTTCTTCTGGTTCTGCCATGCAGATGGTTGAATTTTTACAATGTAAATACAGGTACAGTACTTCATTTCTCTCCCCCTTGTCCTCCACTATAAATATACAGTACTGGTATCCTTAACAAAGTGAATGCCCATAATCATCTATACTTTGTCTGAGGCAAAGCATCATAATAAATTATCTTTAGACATATTAGCCAGCTTATAAACTTCCTGTACAGTACAGTACTGTATTAGATATCAAAAGCACTGAACAATGATGCATGCTTTTTTACTCACAAATAAGGTACAGGATGATTAAAAGGTTTCAGGGCTAATTGTACAGTACTGTACAAACGCTTAAAATTTAAAAAAGCAAGTGCATTTCCCGATTTATCTATACTGTATTTATGGCCGGTAATTAATAACAGACTAGAGGCTCTATTTCATGCCAAATTTTTTTAGGACACTTGTGACATAACACACCATGGAATACACAAGTACCATCCAATGTTTTCACAGTGTGTGTGTGTCTGTGTGGTCGGAAGGGAGCACAGAGGAAGGACTAGTCTCAATAAGACACCAAAATGCATATGCAAAAAAATTTGTATGAACACAGCACCGTGACTGATTATTATTATCCTTAAGCCAGCCTAAACTGCCAGAAATGGTGCAGCTACTAGGTAAAATACAGGATAAATGACCAAACAGTTCCTAATCAGCATGGATATTTTGTATGCCATAAAGCAATCCTTTTTGCATGTCCCACCAGACACATCACTAACTTCAGCCACCCTTCATGTGCATAGATGTATGTGGTTACCCAATATTGCTTGTTTATGTTGGAAATCAAAACTGTCAAACCCATAAATAATTTAGATTGAGACAACTTCTAACTGTTGGCCAAACAAGTTGTGTGTGATGCCAGAGACTGATAAGCTGCAAAAATAAATAGAAGTGTTTAATGTTTACTCTAGACAAAAAATATAAATAAACAAGGTAAGAAATGTATACAAAGCTGTTGCTCCTGTTAATTGATCAGATGCCATGTACGTTTGAAGATAAATATTTCCTTTGTGTCATTCTATTAATGTTATTACCGTATATAGTAATAGTACTGTAGCCAATTATCAATTACATTCTATCTTTAACTCCCCCTTCCCCTCACACAATCATCATTACCTAACACTTTTTGAGACCGAAATCTAGCAGCCATGTGTCTACCAACTCCAGAAATATGTCAGTCTTCCTAAGGTTTGCGTTTTCCAGTTTTGCATCAACTGCAAATGGTGATATAATCGAGTTCCTTTCCTTCAGCAGGTTGTATACAGATTACAAATAGCAATCTCTCCAAATCTCTCCAGTTTGACATCTCTGAGTATGACACCATTTCCTGCCACTCAGGTACACCCTTACTCAAGAGCAACAGGCATTGAACTACAGGCCAGTGTTCTTAACTTGTATACCATGCAAGGTGATTGAGAAGATCACGAGAAAAAACGAGTAACACATCTGGAGAACTTCATGACACACCACTTTGGGTTCAGGGATTACAAATCTTGCCTCACAAGTCTAATAGAATTCAACAACAAGGTGATAAAGATCAAGCAAGAAAGAGAAGGGTGGGCAGACTGCATTGTCTTGGACTGTCAGAAAGCCTTTGACACAGCACCCCATAATAGGCTGGTGCATAAGTTGGGAAACAGGCAGGATTAACTGGTAGGATGCTCCAGTGGTTAAAGGAGTGCCTAAGAAATAGGAAGCAGAGTTACTGTGAGGGGTGAAACCTCGGAATGACATGATGTCACCAGCGAGTCCCACAAGGTTCTGTACTTAGACCTATCCTGTTTCTGATATATGTAAATGATCTTCCAGAGGGAATAGACTCATTCCCCTCAATGTTTGCTAACGATGCCAAAATTATGAGAAGGATTAAGACAAAGGACAGCATGAGGCTACAAGATTACCTGGACAAACTGAAGGAATGGTGCAACAAATGGCTATTAGTTTAACCTGAGCAAATGAAGAGTAATGAAGATAGGTGTAGGGAGCAGATCAGATACAAAGTACAATTAGGGAGATGAAATCCTTCAAAAATC